TCTACTACCAGCGTATCCACGCCGACCGTCAATGCCACTACCAGCGTTACAACACCGACCGTCAATGCCACGAGCAGCGTGTCCACCCCCACCGTCAACGCCACTAGCAGCGTGTCCACCCCGGCTGTCAATGCCACTACCAGCGCTTCCACCGCACAGTCGACCGTCAGCAGCTCTTCCACCTCGACAAGCAGCTCCGCGGTGAATGGAACCATCACCTCCGCGTCTACAAGCACACCCGCGGTCAATGCAACGACCTCTTCCACGGCTACGAGCTCTCTCGGTGTCAAGGTGACCGGAAGTGTCTCGGTCAATGCAACCGTCTCTGTCACGTCGACTAGCACTCCTGCCATCAACGCGACCAGCATTACTTCCGCTACCTCTGTTGTGTCTACTAGCACTCCTGCCGTCAACGCAACCAGCATCACTTCCGCTACCTCTGTTGTGTCTACTAGCACTCCCGCCGTCAACGCATCCAGCATCACTTCCGCTACCTCTGTTGTGGCTACTAGCACTCCTGCTGTCAACGCAACCAGCATCACGACCCCTGAGGTGAATAGCACGACAAGCGTGACCTCTTCTGTTTCGACCACAGCTACGTCTCCTGCAGTGAACGGCACGACGAGCGCTTCTTCTGCCAGCACCACGTCAACTGCAGTGAACAGCACGACCAGCGTTGCGTCTGTTGCGTCTACTAGCACGACCTCTCCGGCCGTGAACAGCACGACCAGCGTTGCGTCTGTTGCGTCTACCAGCACGACCTCTCCGGCAGTGAACAGCACGACCAGCGTTGCGTCAACCAGCACTACCTCTCCGGCCGTGAACAGCACGACCAGCGTTGCATCTGTTGCGTCAACCAGCACCACCTCTCCGGCAGTGAACAGCACGACCAGCGTCGCATCTACCAGCACCACCTCTCCGGCAGTGAACAGCACGACCAGCGTTGCGTCTACTAGCACGACCACCCCCACCTCTGTCGCGTCTACCAGCACAACCTCTCCGGCAGTGAACAGCACAACTAGTGCGGTCTCTTCTGCTTCCAGCAGCACCACGTCTCCTGCAGTGAACAGCACAACCAGCGTGGCCTCTTCTGCGTCCACCACCACACCCGCTGTCAATGCAGTGAACAGCACATCCAGTGCAGGCTCCACTGCATCTACAAGCACAGCATCGCCTGCTGTGAACAGCACGACTAGCGCAGCGTCTACGACCTCTCCCGCAGTGAACAGCACGACCACTCCGGCCAGCACAGCTAGCACTGCCTCTCCAGCAGTTAACAGCACGACTACCTCAGCGAGCACTACCAGTGCAGCTTCCACAGCCTCTCCGGCAGTGAACAGCACTGCCAGCGTGGCCAGCACAGCTTCGACTACGTCGAACAGCACGGTCAGCGCAGCTTCTCCTACGTCTACAAGCACAACCGCGAGCGTTTCCACATCGACAACAACAGCCGCGTCTTCTACGACGTCTTCAAGCTCGAGCGCATCGTCTGCCTCTACTACGAGCGCGTCGTCTGCCTCTACTGCCTCTCCTACGAGCGTAGCCTCCTCGCCTACGAGCGCGTCGTCTGCCTCTACTGCCTCTCCTACGAGCGCATCGTCTGCCTCTTCTACGAGCGTGGTGTCTGCCGCCTCTACTACGAGCGCAGCCTCTTCGCCTACCAGTGCAGCCTCCTCGGCTACCAGTGCAGCTTCTCAAGCCTCTCAAGTCAGCGCAGCTTCTTCGGCCACCAGCGCGGCCTCTTCGCCTACCAGCGCTGCTTCATCGCCCACCAGCGCAGCCTCATCGCCCACCAGTGCGGCCTCGTCGCCTACGACCGCAGCCTCTTCGCCAACCAGTGCAGCTTCTCCCACCAGTGCGGCCTCTTCGCCTACAAGCGCAGCCTCTCCAACCAGCGCAGCCTCATCGCCGACCAGCGCAGCGTCTCAAGCAACATCATCCTCCACGACTACGAGCGCAGCTTCTTCGCCTACCAGTGCAGCGTCTCAAGCGACGTCGGCCTCTACGACTACGAGCGCAGCCTCTGCAACCAGCGCTGCTTCTTCGGCTACCAGTGCAGCCTCTTCGCCCACCAGCGCAGCGTCTCCAACCAGCGCAGCCTCTTCGCCTACAAGCGCAGCCTCTCCAACCAGCGTTGCCTCTTCGGCAACCAGCGCTGTCTCTTCTCCTACAAGTGCAGCCTCTCCAACCAGCGTTGCCTCTTCGCCTACAAGCGCAGCCTCTTCCCCGACGAGCGTCGCATCTCAAGCATCTCAGGCAAGCGCGGCCTCTTCCCCTACGAGTGCAGCCTCTTCGGCTACGAGCGTAGCCTCTTCCACTACGAGCGCAGCCTCTCAAGCATCTCAGGCAAGCGCGGCGTCTTCCCCCACGAGCGCAGCGTCTTCCCCGACAAGCGCCGCATCTCAAGCATCTCAAGTCAACGCAGCTTCTTCACCCACCAGCGCAGCTTCTTCCCCTACGAGCGCTGCATCTCAAGCATCTCAAGCAAGCGCGACCTCATCTCCTACGAGCGCGGCCTCTTCCCCCACGAGCGCAGCATCCGCGGCATCTTCTCCTACGAGCGCGGCATCCGCGGCCTCTTCCCCCACGAGTGCTGCATCGCCCACCTCTTCTCCTACGAGCGCTGCATCCGCGGCATCTTCTCCTACGAGCGCTACGTCCGCGGCCTCTTCCCCTACGAGCGCGGCTACGAGCCCGGCATCTCAAGCCAGCGCCGCCTCTACCCCCACAAGCGCTGCGTCAGCCGCCTCCTCTCCCACGAGCGCGGCTACCAGCGCAGCCTCTTCGCCCACGAGCGCGGCTACCAGCGCAGCCTCCTCTCCCACGAGCGCGGCTACCAGCGCAGCCTCTTCTCCCACGAGCGCGGCTACCAGCGCAGCCTCTTCCCCCACAAGCGCGGCGACCAGCGCAGCCTCTTCCCCAACGAGCGCTGCGTCCGCAGCCTCCTCTCCTACGAGCGCGGTTACCAGCGCAGCCTCTTCCCCTACGAGCGCGGCGACCAGCGCAGCCTCTTCCCCCACGAGCGCGGCATCTCAAGCAAGCAGTGCATCTCAGACCAGCGCAGCCTCTTCGCCTACGAGCGCGGCATCTGCGGCCTCTTCGCCGACGAGCGCGGCATCTCAAGCATCCCAAGCAAGCGCAGCGTCCACCACTTCGCCCGCCAGCGCAGCCTCTTCACCCACGAGCGCCGCATCTCAAGCAAGCGCTGCCTCTACCACCTCGGCTGCCAGCGCTGCCTCTTCGCCTACGAGTGCCGCATCTCAAGCATCCCAAGCAAGCGCAGCGTCCACCACTTCGGCCGCAAGCGCAGCCTCTTCGCCTACAAGCGCAGCCTCCTCTCCTACGAGCGCGGCATCCCAAGCAAGCAGTGCTTCTCAAGCAAGCGCGGCCTCAACTACCTCGCCCGCAAGCGCAGCTTCTACTACTTCGGCTGCAAGCGCGGCATCTTCTCCTACGAGCGCATCTCAAGCAAGCGCGGCTTCATCTCCTACGAGTGCGGCATCGTCCCCTACGAGCGCGGCATCCCAAGCAAGCGCAGCATCCACCACGTTGGGTGCAAGCGCCGCCTCTACCACCTCGCCCGCCAGCGCAGCCTCGTCTCCTACGAGTGCGGCATCGTCCCCTACGAGCGCGGCATCCCAAGCAAGCGCAGCATCCACCACGTCGGGTGCAAGCGCCGCCTCTACCACCTCGCCCGCCAGCGCAGCGTCGTCTCCAACGAGCGCATCTCAAGCAAGCGCAGCCTCCGCCACCTCGCCTGCAAGCTCGGCCTCTACGGCTTCGGCTACCAGCGCGGCCTCTTCTCCTACGAGCGCGGCATCTCAAGCAAGCGCAGCTTCTACGGCCTCGCCAAGTGCAGCTTCCACGGCCTCGCCCAGTGCTGCATCCACGGCCTCGCCCAGTGCTGCGTCAACGACGTCGCCCAGTGCAGCTTCTACGGCCTCGCCCAGTGCAGCATCTACGGCCTCGCCCAGCGCTGCATCTACCACCTCGCCCAGCGCAGCGTCAACCACCTCACCCAGCGCTGCATCAACGACCTCACCCAGCGCGGCTTCTACTCCCACGACGTTCTCTACCACCACCAGAAGCCCCACAAGCGCAAGCGCGGCCTCGGGCACCACGACAGCACCTGCGAGCACTACGAGCGCGGCCTCGGGCACTACGACGGCGCCTGCGAGCACTACTACCGCCAGCGGTACGTAGAGCTCGACGCCTTGATGTACAATCATGGAAATGAAGGATATATGGGACGGGGAAACAAAGGATATAGAGGACGGAGCGAAGGACGGGAATCATTCTGGGTATATAGCAAACATAATGCACAAGGTGACGTCCGCGCTCTCACGTGCGGCCCACTCTTTTTCCCCAATGCAGCAAATGCACTCTCACCTCAGCTCCCTTTTAGACTTCTTTTAGACACAACGGTTTGATTCCGACTTCACGCCACTTCATTTCACCGCACACGTCTGGTTGGCAGGAAACGGGAGCAAGGTTACGATACGCTGCCTCCGACGTGGTCCTCAGATGCCAAAGCTGCCAGCCCGGGCCGTTGAATGATTACCCCGTTGGGCTGGAAGAGATTCGATATGCTGGATGTGGCAGGAGGGCGTAGATGGCCCTCGACCACAACAGGTGAGCGCACTATTTCGTATCCTCTCCTCTTTCCTTTCTGCTTTCTCCCTCTTCGGCCATCACGACATGGTATCGTGAATCCTGCGGGTGTTGTCGCGCCTCTTTGCCTTGTCCGTCTTCTGACCGCAGTCACTCATTCTCGGGTCATTCGCTTCTGTCACTCGTTTCAAGCACTCGTTTTCCATTCAACCAGTCACTCCTTCGGCCCAACGCAGCCATGATGTTCCTCTCTACTTCCATCTCCCTCTTCCTTTGCGCCCTCACGTGCGTCTCCGCCATCCAATTCACCTACCCCACCGCCGGCGACAACCTCACCAAGGGCGACACTTACGATGTGACCTGGACGACCGTCGACACCGACCCGACACAGTTCAGCATCTACCTGTGGAACTTCAAGTACTACCCGCCGTACTACACCTTCCTTACGCAGGTGCAGACCAGCGCACAGAGCCAGGAGATTACGATCCCGTGCAATGTCGCGGACGAAGACGGCTGGCAGTTCACGGCCATCGACGGCACGAACGTCTATGTCATCTACGCGCAGACGCAGAACTTCACCATCAATGGGGCGACGTGCACTTCGCCGACCGTCGGCCCCAATCCCGAGGGCAATATTGTCACACAGACGGTGACGGCCTCGGGCTGCTCGACCACGACCACGTCTTGTCTTGCTGGCGTTACGGTCACTGTGGCCTCGACGACGATTACGGAGACGCGCCGGGTGGCTGGATCGACGACTACGGTCGCTGGATCGACGACTACGGTCGCTGGATCGACGACCACTGTTACAGGGTCTACCACGACAGTAGCGGTCTCGACAACAACTGTAGCTGGATCAACAACCACGGTAGCTGGCTCAACAACTACGGTCGCTGGATCTACGACCACTGTCGCAGGGTCTACCACGACAGTGGCGGGCTCTACCACCACCGTCGCGGGCTCTACCACGACAGTGGCTGGATCTACAAAGACGGTCGCTGGCTCTACAACGACGGTGGCCGGCTTTACGACCACTGATACCGTCACCCGCGGGAGACAGACGGTCACCACGACTGTTTCCAACGGCACGGGACCTAAGGGCACCACCACGATTACCAAGACCGTGACTGTTACTCAGACGGTTACAAAGGGCAAGGGTCCTACTGGACCAACCGGTCCTACTGGACCAACAGGACCTACTGGACCACACGGCACTGGACCTATTGGACCGCACAACACTGGACCTACTGGACCGCACAACACTGGACCTACTGGGCCACACGGCACTGGGCCTACTGGGCCACATGGAACTGGACCGCACGGCACTGGACCTACTGGACCACATGGAACCGGACCGCACGGCACAGGACCTAATACAGGCTCCAGCACGCCAACTACGCTCGCCACCAAGCATTGGCATCATCGGAAGCACCACCACGGCCACGCTCATATTCACCGTTGGTAAGAGGAGCATTCTTTGACTAATATAATACCGATTTTACGAGGAAGGCGGCTTGTTGAGAGGTTGAGAGGGTTTAGCATGGCTCTTGCATCGAGGAACAACCTGAGCCCAGCAGTCTCTGGGCTACGAGGAGGGTTCAGCACAAGGCAAATTTGGTACTGCCATTGGTTCGTGTACATATGTTAGGTTCGTGTTTTACAACCACAAGCGATTACCGATTCATTTGTCGCGTCTCGCTGCAACATCGAAAATGCTTTCGCCTGCCGTCGTAAGGCTGCGGCGTCCTTCCCGATCGGGCGACGGGCTCCACTTGAAATCCATCTCCATCTCCATCCCCAGCCTACACCTGTCCTCCTCCCTCCTTCATCGTGTTTGATCACAACATCCTCCCTCATTCAACGCCTGTAAAGCGCAGATCCACGAGATGAAGCACACCCTCTTCGCCCTCCCCGCCCTCCTTCGCTCCGCCATCTTCCTCGCCGCCGCCGCCGCCGCATCTCCCTCTCCCGCCTTCAGCGTGCACGACGACCTGCTCGCCTTCCCTCAATACGAGATCCTCTTCCTCGAAGAACACGTCACCGAAGCCCAAGCGCAAGCCCGCCTCTTTCCCAATGAAGCAGGCGCTCCGCCCGACAACGACGCCAACGACCCCTTCCCTCTCGAGCACTACCGACTCAGCGACTATGCGAACCCCGTCCATCCACACGCCAGCGGGGAGCAAGAACCGCTCAAGTTCGAATACGAATCGGTGGTACTAGATGGCCAGCCCTACCTCTGCAGCATCCCGCAGATCCCCAAACCCGATCCCATCTCGCGAGATGCCGCGGGCAACAGCAGCACCACCACACTCTCCAAAGCGGAGCAGGAGAAGGAGCTCGCGCGCGCCACTGATCGCGGCTGGGAACTGCTGTCTGGCATGCAGGGGAATTGCGTCTACTTCATCAGCGGGTGGTGGAGCTATAGGTTCTGCTATAATGATGGGGTGAGGCAGTTTCATCAGCTGCCGCCGAGTCGCGGCGTGCCCCCGTATCCGCCTACGGAAGACCCCGGGGTGCAAGGCTTCACGCTAGGGAAGTACGCGGAGGGGAGTGCTGTTGCAGGCGGAGAGGAGAAGGACGGGTTCGGGGATGAGGAGGCATTGCATGCATTGGATCTCGGGCAGAGCAAGACGAAACACACGACCAGAAGCCCTGCAGAAGTGGCAGGGAAACTAGTCCATCGAGGAGAAACGCGATACCTGGTGCAAAACCTGGACGGCGGAACGAAATGCGACTTGACCGGCAAAGACCGCAAGATAGAAGTGCAGGTGAGCACCTCCACGCCATTGATCCTTCCCTTCCGTCCAAACACTAACACCCCCCAAGTTCCACTGCAACCCGCAATCCGCCGACCGCATCTCCCTCATCAAAGAAACCAGCACGTGCGCCTACCTCATGGTCATCCACACCCCGCGCCTCTGCCACGACGTCGCCTTCCAGCCGCCGCAAAAAGACCACCCCCACCCCATCACCTGCTCCCCCATCGTCGCCACCCCAGACGACCTAGCAACCTACCAAACGCAACTCTCCGCCTACAAAGCCGCCATCTCCTCCGCCGCCGCGTCCGCCGCAGCCTCCCCCGCCGCAATCATCGGGGACATCGAAGTCGGGGCCCACAAGCTTGTGCCGCGCGATTTCAAGCTCGAAAAGTCGGCCATTGTCGGCGGGGGCAAGGAGACGTTTCTGGAGACGGTGGCGTCGAGTGGGGATGGGGTGTTGAGCAAGGAGGAGCTGGAGAAGCGCGGGCTGGATCCGAAGATTGTGGCGGAGTTGAGTAAGATGTTGAAGGGGCGGGCGGAGCCCGGGCAGGGGTGGAAGTTGAATGTCGTGCAGACGCCGCGGGGGAGGGAGTTTAGTGGGGTTGTGGAAGAGGTGCCTGGGGAGGGGGCACAGGAGGGGGATGAGTCTAAGCAGGATGCGAAGAAGGAGGGAAAGAAGGAAGGAGGAGACAAGAAGAAGAAGAAGGCCGCGAAGAATCATGAGGATGAGAGGGAGGCAAAGGACGAAGAGGGCAGTCAGGAGGAGTACTTCCACAAGGACGAGCTCTAGCTTACCCCCTTCAATCGCAGACCCATGTTAATCATGTTGTCCATGAGCCTTTGGGTGTGTATGTGTGGTTTGCCTTGCATTATACTACGGACCAAGGAAATATACAAAACATAGGAAACAGGGAGCCGACAAGCAACAGCGCCATCCAATCTACTACGAGTCCGCCGAACCGCGCGGCCGCCCATCACCAATAGCCTCGCCCCGTCTACCCTCCACATCGGCAGAAGCAGAAGCAGCGGAAGCCTCGCGCAGAGGCGAAGGACTGCTCGCAAGCGATGCGCTTCGCCGCCTCACGCCCACCTTCTTGTCCCCCCACGTCCAACGCTTCTTGACCAGCACATGCCTCTCCGCCGACGCATTCGAAGCACTCTACACCTTGCCGGCGTCGTCGTCGTCTTCGAAGAACGTGATGACGGCGCGGGCGCCCGAGGCGCCGAGACCGTGAGGCGGGTAGCCGACTAGCACACACACATTAGCATACAAAGTTTCAATTCTATGAGGGGGGGTTCAAAACTCACTCCAGATTGGATCCTCGATCGCGCCCAACTTTTCTCGAAACTCGGTTTTATTGGTCAACTTGAGCTCCGTGGCAATGGCGTGGTACGCCTTGCTCAGCACCTTGACGCGCGTGCCCTTCAAGTTGTGCCCGGGTGTGAATTTGGCCATGGCGCCGCCGCCAAACGTGACGGACGTCGCGCCCGTCGACGCGGCCGCCTTGAGCGCGTGCATGACAAGCGCCTCGATGGAGCCGGACGGCGCGCCGGGGAAGTCGAGGGAGAACTTGACCTGCCAGCCGTGCTCGGGCGAGAGCTGCGCCATGATGACGAGGCCGGTGATTTGGCCGTCGGGCGTGGTGCCGTAGTGGTACTGGCGATGCGCCACGTCCTGCCACGGGTGCACATCGGTAAGATGGACCTGCTTGCCCTTGCGGCCCTTGAGCCAGTCCTGCACGCGCTGGTCGATCTTGTCGCGGATGGCGTCGGGCACCTGGGTGCCGATGGGGATGTCGTGGATTCTGACGCCCTCCTTCTCCGCGTGCCGGATCTTGCGCAGCACGTCGGGGTCCTTGGCGCCGGCGCTGTTGCCGGGATCGAGGCGCTGCTCGCCGGCGACGGAAAACGTGCGCCAGTCGAACTTGTTGGCCAGCACTTCTTCCACCGGCGCGCCGCAAAGGAGCCAAATGGGCTTGAGATGGCGCTCTTTCTTGATGTAGCGGATGAAGCCGGCGACGGTCTTGGCGTATTGGGACTGGTGGCAGAGGGGGTCGCCGATGGTGATGGCGAAGCCTTGGCCGTGCGGCACGAAACCGACCGCAGCGCCCGTGGACGGATCTCGCCAGATTTCGAACTTCGGCTCGAGCCAGGAGGTGTTGGAGGCATCGCCGTAGTTGGCAATCAGCTTCTCCAGCGGCTGGAAGTCCATGCCGGCCGTCGCGCGATCCTGCGGGTGCCATGGAGGAGGCATGGTGCTGGCTTCGGGATGACGCAACTGCTTGACCGGCGGGGTGTATGGCAAAGACTTGGGATCGCGAGGGAACAGCGTGGCGTTTCGGATGTCGCCCAGCTTAAGCAGCAGCATGAGAATACGCTCGAGGCCGATACCACCACCGCCATGCGGCGGGCAGCCCCACTCGAAGCCGGTCATGTACTCCTCCATCGTCTTCGGGTCCATCTTTAAGGCCTCCATTCTACCAATCAGCATGGGGGCGTCGTGAATACGCTGGCCACCAGACAGGATCTCCTGGCCACGCAGGAAGATATCAAAGGAGTTGGTGATCTTGGAATCCTTCGGGTCCGGCATGGCGTAGAAGGGGCGAGCGGAGGCGGGGAACTTGTCGAGGACGTAAAAGTCGGTGCCCAGCTTCTCCTTGACGACACGGCCGAGAGCGATCTCGTCGCGCGTACCCAGATCCTCATCCAAGGGCAACTCCTTGCCGTTTTCATCGCGATGGCCGGAATCGTTGAGCATCTTGACGGCATCGGCAAAAGGGAGGACGGGTGTCACGTCGAGCCACACGAGATCCTCGTGCGGGAACTGCGTCTTGACAATCTCAATTTCCGTGCGGTAGTTGTCGTAGACGTGCTTGAACATGGCCTTGAACGTGCCGTCCAGCACGCGCAGGACTTCGTGGTAGTGGTTCTCAATCTGCATCTCCAGATCGAGACCCGTAAACTCCGTCAAGTGTCGATGGGTGTTGCTGTTCTCGGCGCGGAACACCGGGCCGACCTCGAAGACCCGGCCCAGATCGGCAGCCACGCACATCTGCTTGCCCAGCTGCGGCGATTGAGCGAGGAAAGCGGGGCGATCAAAGTAGTTGACCTTGAACACCGACGCACCAGACTCGGAAGCGGCACCTTGCAGCTTGGGGGTGTGGATTTCGGTGAAGCCTTGGCTGTAGAGATGGGAGCGGAAGGCCTGGCAAATGGCCGACTGGATGCGGAAGATGCTTTGGGCGGCAGTGGTGCGCAGGTCGACGATGCGGTTGTTGATGCGGGCACGCTCGGAGACGCGATGGCGAGTGTCGCCTTCCTGCTGCGTCTGGGCGTAGGTGACCTCGGCCTCGTGCACGGTGAAGGGCAGGGGCTCGCTGGGCGTGGCCTCGACAAACATCTCCGAGATCTGAACTTCGACATCCTTGATGGTAACACCCTGGACTTCGCCCTGCTTGGCTTTGGGCTGCTGGAGGACACCGGTGACGAGGACGATGGTCTCGACATGCAGATGTTCAGCCCAGTAGAGGAAGTGCTGGGAGACGAGGTCATGCTCGTGCAGGATGCCCTGGATGGTGGCCGTCTGCTGTCGCAGCTCGATGAACATCAAGTGCGCACTCAGCTTGCGGACGTTGTGGATGCGAGCGCGGAAGGTGACCTTCTTGCCCACGTCGGCGGCCTTGAAGCCGAGGATCTTGGTGCTCTCGACAATCATCTTGTCGTCGCCGGCGTAATTGTTGATGGGCAGCGTGCCATACTTGGTCTTCTGCTCCTCCGTCTCGTTCTCGAGCGCTTTCTTCTCAATCTCGTCCCGGCGCGCCTTGTCTTCGGCCATGCGCTTCTCGGCCTCCTTGCGATGCTCCTGCTTGTGGGAGGTCTTCTCATGCTTGCGCAGCTGGTTCCGGCTGAGCGACTCGCCGGTATGGGAGAGCGAGAGGTCTTCGGTGGAGGAGTGGGAGTCCTCGGAGTGCGGGCGGAGCTTGCGGGCGAGCTTGCCCATGGGCGTGCCGGAGCGGTGGCCGCCATCCTTGGAATCGCGGTGGTGCGAGTGCGAGCCCGAGCCGGCGGAGGTGTTGGTGTTGGTGCGAGAGGGGGAGTCGACGCTCTTGCGGTGGTGGTGCAGGCCATTGTGCGTCAGCGAGGCCAGGCCGGTGGTGATGCGGTTCGGTTTGTGGTGGCCGGAGGGGGGAGGAGAGGTGGCGTGTCCGCTCTCACTGTCGCTGTTGCCCGCGGACGAGCCGCTGCGGGGCTTCATGCCGTGGAGGACCTTCTTCATCGACGACATGGCTGCGGCTCAGTGGAGAATTTGGCGAGGCGAATGGCAGCGTTCCCGGCGCTTCTTTGAGCAGTAGAAACAGAGGAGACAAGAGCGGAGCGGAGCGCAATTGCTGGTGGTTGAGGTGGGTATACCGTGCCAATGCTCGCAGTGGCGGGGAGGAGGCAAACCTTATCTTATGTAAGGCTTTCAGCCCGCCCCACTAGCGAAGATAGCGCGGGCGTGAGCTGATCTGAACCTGAGTTGCTGTAGCCGGCCGACTCGTAGCCAATCCGCTCACCGCGCGCAATGTGTCGCGAGAAGCAAGGCAAATGAGAGCGCAGTGTGGTGCACCTTCTTCACCGCAAGCAATTGTCGCCAATACCGTCTTTCGCGCAGGAAGTTGCGTCCAGAACCGTCGGGGGGAGCCTCGAAGCGCGGATGCCGGCGGAAAGCCGCGATCACGAGAGCGCCAAGCAAAAGGTCGTTTGCGCTTCAGTACGGACGTAAGAAGCAGCGACGCCCGCGGCGAAGGGCAAGAGGAGGCGAAGAGGGGTTCGTGAGCGGGAGCAGCCGAGCGAGTAGGATGGGTTGAAGAACTACAGACAAGTCCCTGGCCTCCAGAAGGATGTCGTGAGGGGTCCAACGACCTTTATGCTGTCGAGCTGCCTGGAGCTTGGAGCCTGCCTAACCACGCTGCCAAGGCGCGCCTACTCGCGCCACGCCGGGATGCGACGGATGAATCAGCAGGATGGCATTGCTGACATGGAACCAAACTGCGCGTTGATTCAGCCGCGCGCATGACTACTGCAAAAGGGAATGGTCGAGGTAGGTAGGTACAGTAGCTGTGCAGGTACATCACTATACCTTAGTAATCGTAAAACCGGACCCATGCACGCGAGCACATACTGCTCCCAGCTTGAGATCTCTCCGGCACCTGCCGGATCGGGTCGAGTGCTGGATACAATTGCGGCAAGTGCTTTCTACTTCTTCCAGAACTTTTCGTCCACCCCATTGTACCATCTACATCCCATTCCCATTCGCCCCAGGCGTCGCAGCCCCCATGAACACCCCCGTATTCGCCGCATGCACCCCGAGCGGCGCATTCGGACTGCGGCCGCCCCCAGCAGCAGCATCGTTGGGGAAATCCAAATTCATCCCCCACATCCCACTGCCCCCGCGATCCATGGCGGTGTTGTTAGCAATGTAGTCATCCCACACGCCCTGTCATTCGCAACTCTGTTAGTAACGAGCGCGAGGCGAAGAGTATGTCTGGGGGAGGAGTGGCAACAACTTACCCAATCAATGTCGCCACCAGCACCGCCCATGCCCGTGAAGTTCCCCGCCGTCCCGAAGAGCGAGGAGAAGGGACTCACCGCGCCTCCGACGTCCGGACTGGCGTAGTTGGGGGTGAGGCCGGAGCGCTCCGCCATGGCCTCGTTCAACAGCCCTGTCACTCCGCTGCTGCCACCACCACCTCCTGAAAACATCCCCGTCTTCGCCTCTGCCCCGAAGCCTCCCCCGTTCATCTGCTGCTGCTGCTGCGACGGCGGCAGAGCAGCAGGCGACATGCTCCCCGAACTCAGCATATTCAATGTCATAGCAGCAGACTGCTCGGGCGGCAGGTCATCGTCCGCATTGACGTCCGAAAAGCCGCCATTCGCAAACGCGCCAAAAGTCGGGTGGCCCCTGCGTGGAAACGAGCGCAGCAGTTCCGCCGCCTCACGCTGCGCACCAGGCAGTTGTCGCGCGTAGCGCTGCTGCTCGCGATGTGCCTTCAGCTTGTCAATCATGACGCGCATCACCGCCGACGCCTTGAAAGCTTCCATGCTGTTTTCCCGCACCGACTCCCAGATTGTGAGACAGTGCTCCACTGCACGCAGCATTTCTTCTTGCCGCTGGTCGTCGTAGAAGGAGGAGCCAGGCGAGTCGCTCGCGGAGGTGGGCGGGGAGTGGTGTTTGCTGAGACCCTTGCGCTCCGCCTCGGCCGTGTGGTAGAGATCGAGACACACGAGCATGGCGGCCAGGAGGAAGTCGTGGGTGGTGAGGGAGGAGATGTACCATTTGACGGAGCGCAGGCGGCCGCCGGGTTGCGATTCCTGGTGCAGCGTGGCTTGCAGCGCGAGCAGCTCCAAGGACCCGTCGATGCACGTGCGTCGGCTGTAGGCGTAGCGCGGGTTCTCTCGTCCCATCGCGATGAATTTCCGATGCAGCACGAAGAGCGAGCGCAGGTAGACCATTTCCAGGCCGATGCGCTGCATGATGAGGTTCGCGGGATCGCGCGCGGACTCTTGGAAGGAGCGCATTTGCAGGAGCGGCGGGTGGGAGGCCCTCGCTTCGCGCAGTTCTTGATCGAATTTCATAATCTCGTCGTAGGAGGGTGGGTTGGAGATGGAGGCCGTGCGCTCGACAATCCGGCCGAAGAGGAAGGTCATGTGGGACTTGACAATCATGTACGACATGGGCGTCGCTTCGAAACTGGGCCGCGAGGGAGGCAGTTCCTTCATCTCTTCGTAGAGCTCATCGTCGTACAGATTCCGCGGCGGGAGGCAGTCGATGTGGTCGGTGCGGATCATAGCAGGCAGACCGAACTGGAAGGAGATGAGGAGATCGCACTGCCGCACAAACGTCCACACTCGCCGTCTCATCTCGCCTTGGAAGGGGGTGATTTGCGGATGCGGACCAGGGTCGCGGTGGTAGCCCATGCGCATCGCCAGCCGCACGCACAGACTGACCATGAGCAGCACGCCGGGTTCCGCATCTCTGCTGCGCCCGTACTCCGCCTGCACATGGAGCACCATCGTCTCGAGAATCTGCGCGATGGGTTGTGTAATGTCGGCGAGGATGAGGCACTGCGCCGTCAAGCGGCGGAATTCGTGGGAGAGGTCCGTCGCGCGTCCACGATACTCGGGCGGTTCGTCGCCCGCGCGCTGATATGATTGCAGCGACAGCGTCATCATCGCATAGCACATGCCCAGCCAGACGACCGACGTGTCGCCCGGGTTCAGCCAGTGTCGATCGTACTGCTTTTGAAACGACGGGCCATGAACCACGTGAATCGACGGGTCGTACGCATTGAAATACCGCGCAATCAAGCGGTCAGCATCCACCTTGGCCGGAAAGGAGTTCAACAAGGTCTGCTTGTCCGTCGCCGGCGGGCCTTGCAGCAGGAAGGCCGTGCCCGGACTCTCGTCGTTCTTCGCTGCCTGCACCTTCTCCATATGCTGCTTGTAGTCCTCCTTGTGCTGCACAAACCAATTCTTCACCTCGCTAATCTCCCCCAGAATCGCATACCAGTGCGCATCGGAGGCGAAGACGGCGCGGCCGTCGTGCACCTTCATAATCCCAATCCCCTTCGACACCTGCTCCACCTCGCTCTCCTCCCCGCCATCCTCGCCTTCTTCAATAATCACATCAGCACCACTCATATCCAGTCGGAGATCCGACGTGCCCGTCGTCGTCGTGCTCAAGCTATTATTCCGACTGGCGTCAATGGCCGCCTGCGCCGCCGCCGTGCCGCCGGCCTGCGACCCATTCGTCATGAGCGACAGCACCAGCCCCTCCAACCGATCAATGCGATTCTGCATGTCGCCGGGCGTGGCGTTTGCGGCGGCGGCGGCATTGCTGCTCGCGCTGCCGCCGCCCTTTTTCCGCCCGCCGGGCGCGGCGTAGCTGCAGGAGGCGGTGTCGCCGCGCTTGGAGCAGTTGTCGCAGGGGTGCTGGCGGTTGCATTTGAGCTTGCGGTGGCGGCAGGGGGCGCAGGAGAGGGGGATGCGGTTGCGTTTGCGCACCACGCGGAACTGGTGGGGGTCGGGAGAGGCGCCGTTGGAGGAGGTGGAGGAGGGAGGGGTGGGTTGGTTGTTGTGCGAGGACATGGTGGAAGTGTGGTGGTGGTGAGCGTCTCGATGAGTAGGGGAGTCGCGCAAAGACGGCGGAGATAGTCCGCGCTACACCCTGAGAACGCGGTGCATGAAAGGTAGGAAAGGAGAGAGTTGTAGAGTTAGATGTCGAATGGTGGAAAGTCGTCGCAGCTGAGTGCAGTCGAGTGTCTTTGGCGATGACGAAAGTAGCCCTAAGCGACTCCCGATCTCTCAGCACTCCTTGCACACGAGCCTTTTATTTAGTACCGCTCGCACGAAACGACCAAACCAATCTAGACGTGTGACTCATGACTAGAACCAGGGAAAACAGTCGAGTGGAGTCGAGGTGCTGCCTGGCATCGTAGAGGCGCGCAGCACTCGAGCAAGCGCTGCGGACTTAACAGCCTCCTTAACTCCCGGTCCTCTCTTCACTTAACCATGGCTGTGTAGAAAGAAGGATGCCTTTGATAGAAATACCTCTTGGTACATAACGAACATTCTTCACCTTCCAAATTCCACGAAACCGGGGCAGCAAAATCGACAGCAGAGCGTCATCTAGCCGCACATCGATCTTCCACCCCTCTCATCGTACTCTTCACAGCCTCCCATTTCCATCTCCGAAGCGAGAGAGGCACACAGATTGCAGCGATGGATTGACACAAACGAGCATACCCCGCCCAACCCGGAATGAACACCATGCTGTTGTTTTTCCTCCCCGCGCGCCCGCTGCTGCTGCAACCTCTTCACTACTATTACCAGACGCAAGTATCGTCCCCCGCCTCGTCTCGTTGATGATTGATGCCTCAGTTTAGAATAGTCGTAGTGTAGTGATAAGCGAATGACGAGTGACTGGAATGCCGTACAGTGTCGAGGGCCAGAAGTATTAAGCGACATCGTCCATGGCAAGATGTCATCAAATGATGAACATGTCCATCACCTCGCCTGCCCGTACGCATATTCCACGCCCTGCATAGCGGCGCCGCCCGTCTGCGAAGGCTGCGACGGATGCTGAGGGTGCGGCGCATACTCGTGCTGCCTGCCCGCCGACGAGCCCGGGGGATTAAGGGGCGGGAGGGAGATGCCCGAGGAGGGTCCGCCATTCGGCTGGCTTAGCTGGTTCGTAAAGTGGCCGTATACGTGCGGTGCGTTGGCGTCGAGGCGCTTGAGCGTCTGGTACATGACTTGCACCTCGGTCTTGAGCAGCTCATTCTCCTTCTGCGCTTCGCGCGAGTACTCGACCTCGCGCTGGAGGCGCGCGACTTCGTTCCCGAGGTGGCGTTCGGTATGTTGCGTGTTGCGAATATGATCGATTGCTGTCGGGGACGCGTTAGCTACGTGGGCGGGCAAGGTCTGATCGGAAGGATATCCTACCTTTGGAGAGAATCTCCCATTTGCTGGCCTTGGCCCCGCCACTGGTTGGGACGGCCTTGTTGAGGTCCTCGAAAAGATCCTTCATCTCGCTTCGTCGTTTGCGTTCCGCCAGCTTGTGGCTTACCCGCAACTCCGGCGTTCGACTGTATGTGCCCAGGGCAGATCCATTCTCTTGCTGCAGGTCCTGTATTGAGCGATGCTGCATCGAGTGTTGATGTGCGCTCGCTTGATCTGGAAATAATAGTGTCAGCACTCATCGAATCCCCTACTCTCACTCATTCCCACGAGCATACCGTCATCGAGCCGCCTTTGGCCTGCAGGCATCCGCGAGTCCGCCGAGAAGATGCTGCTTCGGATCGACGAGGCCGCGATACTATTGTTTCGGGAAACGACATTGGTGGATTCGCTGCTGTCAGAGTCCCGCCGTTCCTCGGGAATGGGTCCGTCGGGAAAGGCCCAGGCATAACCTTGCGTGGGCTTTGCTGCGGTGGGATCGGGTTGACCAGCCGTCCGGCCCACGGGTATGATAGGGGGGGCAATCCGCGGCCGCACGCCAGGTCGTGAGCTGAGCGGTGACATTGGTCCCTGTCCATTTGGCCGGCGCAGACTAGCCGCCAATGAGACTTGTGATGTGTTTGCGCTTTCATACGGCGACTGTGGATTGTTGATGTAGAGGCCACTGAGCCCCTGGTGCATGCGGCTATCGACACTGCTCCGCCGCGAGTCCCAGGAGGCCTGGCTATCGCGGTTGGTCGGTGGTTCTTGTTGAAAGCCTTGGTTGATGGAGGGCAACCCTTGCGAGCCAAAGGAAGCGCCACTTTGTATCCGCCCAGACAGCGGTGTTGATGGGATGGAGTTCCGGGGAGGAGAGTCGTCGTGGTTCAGAAGAGTGTGCACGTGCAGACCGCTACCCGCTGAGGTGTCTGTACAGTATCACTCGTTAGCGATGCATCCGAATTCAAAGCTGGCTAGGTCGGGTTCGACAAAGGGGAGTCGATGAGGAACCGACATGGCTCTGAATACTTGGTACGAAGGCCTGCCGGCGGGCAGCCGTGCTCCAAAGCATTCTCGGCTTGAGGGTGGGGGTGATTCGAGGGACGACTTACGCTTACTCTGTGACTGCGGCCATGTTCCCGAGTCCCTTGCCGAGTCGGAGGCCGAGAGCTCCTCGGGGGAGCGTTGGTGTGAAGGCGGACGGATGCCATTGGTGAGGCTACTGATGGGGGGTAGAGTTTGGCTGACGGGGGGGTATTGCGGTTGCTGTTGTTGCGGCGACGGCAGCGCATGCTGCGGTGACGGCCTGCGCGGCGACGCTACGCTTTCCGTCATGGTGTGGGCGTGCCTGAGACACTCCCCGGACCAAAGTTTCTGCTATGAGAGATGTTGCCCTGCAGGGGAGAGCTCGATTGCGTGTGCGCTCGTAGAGAAAGGTCGGCGACGCGTACTCGGCGGGTAGAGCAGGTGGGTGCAAGGCGCGCGTGGAGGAGGAACTGGACCTCTGGCGGCTTGATGAAACGAAGCACAAAGGAGCCTGTGTATGCGACGCGGGGCGGGTTCACAAGTGTACCTCTGCCAAACTGCGCAGGGAGGATGAAAATTTGCAGCCGACGAGATGTGCGTGGAATGCCTGGCGAGAATTAGAAGTACAAACTCAGGCGGCCGGTGGAAGTTGAGAAGAGCGCGCAGTCATGAGTACATGGGGCACGGCCGAGTCCAGGCGACAGCTCGAAAGGGAAGAGGCTGCAGGAATTTGCGGCAGCGGCGGCGGCAATAATAAAAATTCGAAGACGAGATGCGGCGGGGCTCGAGATGGTGAGTCGGCTGACTTGCAGAGGGCGGGAGGGCGTCAGGAGGTGAGAAGCCGATGAATCGGTGGATGGGGGAAAGGGGAAATGGCGATGGCGAATTGATGGCCAGAGACGCGGCGCAGCGCTGGCGCACGTGTGAGACCCGTGGGACAAAGTGGTTGAAGAGCGGCAACGTGCGCCGAGAGAGGCAGAAAGGGGGCAGAGCGGAGTGGTTGAGGTGGATGGGCCAGTCGGGCAGGCAGAGGTGGTCAGCGGGTTGGGGCCAGAAGCGGTTCGTCGTCCAGCTGCGCGCGAAAGTAGTGGTGGTGATGGTGGGTCATCCGCGGGCTCGTGTCATGGCGACGGCGGCTTGGTGTCGGCGGTGCTGCCCTTGCATGAAATGGGCGTGGTGGTGTGTGCGACGGTGGGCGGGATGCAGGCAATGTGATAAAAGGATGGGAGAAGGAGAAGGAGAGAGCGGGTGGGTGGGCGTGTGGGGGGTGGAGTCGCGCGGATTTCAGGGTGTGTGGACAGGCAGGTGCGACTCGGATGACGATGGCGGGAGATGGGGGGCAAGAGCGTGCACGGGTGGATGCGGACAAGGTGCACTCCGAAGCAATGCCTCACGTCCACGGTTCGGTGCAGCGAGCGGTGCAGAGAGGAAGGCAAGCCGACGACGGAGATGGGTGGGGAGGGGAAGGACAGTAGGCGGGTGGTGCAAAGAGTGGATGGAGCGAAAGGGTGCAGGCGGCACGTGGAAAGCGACAGGGCAGATGAGCGAGGGCGCACAAAACAGCCGGCGCGCGCTCATGCAGATCCACGCTCCGCACCGCGCCGTTCTACCTGCCTGCCTGCCAGGCCCTGCCCTCACCCCGACCAAGGAAAGGCAAAGAGCCGCGCCGGGCCTCACGGACGCAAACTCTATCCGCCCTCTCCCCTACCCATTAGCTCCCCTGCCCTCACTCCCCGTGCGGTTCCCGGGCCGTGTACAGCGCCGGATTCAGGCGCATCACCACCAACATGCAGCCTCGTTATTGGGCACCGTATAGCCTTTGCGCCGCGGATGTGCTGACGACGTTCCCTGCCCCGCCACTAGTCCGGGGCATGGATGGATGGATGTATCATCACCTACGAGCTCACAGGCAGCACGAGGGATACAGGCCAGGCCGGGGGGGTCGAGCCCACTGACTCGAGCTTGGCTTGTGTAGCGGGCGTGTCTACCGAACGTGCTCGTTATCGGAGCCATTCATCACCTTCGCCACAGACGCCATCCCACGATCCGGACAATTTTACGATCGTGACCCAGCGATGTCCTACCCATGATGACACTTGCTTCTGCCAGCGCCCCATCCGCCCCGTCCCAGGGCTGTGATCAACAGATTCCAAGCACGTCGCAACACTCCATCCAGGGCAGCAATTTGAGATTCCTCCCCCGGCGATCACTCATCCTCTCCAGCCACGCGCCCAATTCCCGGCTGATCTGCCCGGCCTGGACCACTTTTCCCCCTCGCCTAGGCACGCCTGTTCATCATCACACACACCTGCACGCTTGCGGACGATTGTGGAGAAGTGTGATCGACACCGCGCTAATCCGCGAGCAGTAACACCTCCAGCTGGCCGTATTGAGTTTCCAACGTGCCTGTTTTACGTGTTCAATCGGTGGTTCGCGGTTGTCTCGGAGCTCGTGCCTTCCGGGGCACGTTGATGATTACTGAAGTCGCTAGTCGCCCTGCCTAGAATCCTTGGGAGCTGGATAGTCGTTATATCGAGATGAGAAGGAATCATGGTGCAACTCGACTACAGGCCTGTCCTTTTGCTGCACTCGCTGCCAAGCCGCTTGCCCACCGGAGATGCGTGACACACGTTCATGGTGTGCGCGCCATACGACACTCCATTGCGCCATCCTTGTGCAGCCGGCGCGGTGCACAGCGGTCGTCGTCAATCTCCCCCAATGCACCCATCCGAGTGCTGTCGTTTCATCTGCGAGGCTGCTCGGTTGCGGTTGCAGGATCAGCGCGGTGATCTCCAGACGAAACACACCACCTCCTTCCGAAGTATACTAGCACTACACGCATCTCCTATCTTGCACGTGGTATGCCCACTGCTTTCAATCCTTCTTCACCTGCCCATTTGCTTTGCCCCCTTCTGTCTGCTTTTGCTGCGGCAGCCTCCAACTCGTTTCGTAGCCATACAACGCCCCGCTTCCAAATACCAGTGTCGAGCCCAGGATCATCATCCCGCTTAGCTGATGGCCGAACAGCACCGTGCTCAGGATGAACGAGACGAGCTTGCGGATGTTCAACACAATCGTCACCGTCACCGCCGACGATTTGGCGCAGAGTAGATTGACGCCGGTGATGCACGCCAGTTGCGTGAGGATGTTCACGAGCATGAAGACGACACCTTGCGGGAGGCCTTCGATGGAGGAGGTCAACATGGGCGAACGTCGAATGGTAGTCAGTAGCGGTTCAAGGGTGGGCGAAGATCGCGCGAGAGCTTTGATGTCCAGTGGGGAAGTGGAGAGAAGCCTCGAGTACTGCTTCCTCAGCACTCCCGCAAGAGGTAAGAAGAGCGGCAACGACAGGAAATGCGAGTAGAACAGACTCTCCTTCCAGTTTGCGCCGTAGATGGCGTACGTGTCTTCCGTGTAGGTGCCCATGTAAGCCGACAGGAACTGCGCGACCAGCAAGACCAGCAGGCCGTTGCCGAAATCCGAGTTGAACGAGTCCATACTGAAAGACATGGATTTGCCCTGAGATGCATGTAAGTAAGTGAGTCTGCAATACGCTCAAACACGACGACATACCTTCCCCTCGGCATCCGCCCATGCACTCACTACAACGCCCACCGTCAACAACACGACACTCAACACTTGCAGGAAAGAGTACTTCTTCCCACGCAGGAAGCCCGCGGCCATGGTCGTCACGCTCCCAAAACTGCGCAAGATGATGTGCACGGGGACACTAATGCGGTAGGAGAAAGCCCAGTTGTTCAGCATGTTGATGCCGAAGTGCATGGCGGCGAGGATGGCCCATCTTCGGATAGGCACGCCGGGCGACCGGATGGTGTAAGGGGCGGATGACGAGTATTGGGTAGAGTAGGCGGCGAGAGCTGTGAAGAAGAACTGGAGGAAGGTTATGATGACGCCTGGTGTTCTAGAATTAGTATAGATGATGATATGTACCTCGAAGTCGTCTCACCGCTATCTGGCTCGCTCCTGGATGGAATGTCAGTAGACTTCTCTTTCTCATTCTCCCAGTACTGAATACATACTGAATCAGCGCCTCGAGGGCAAAGACATTGGCACAGCATCCGCCGAAGATCAGCACGACAATATTAGTCGGCCCATAGGCGTAGAGCATAATGGATTCGGAAGCGCTTTACCGTGCGGGATTCATCCCGAATAGCTGCAACATTGAGAGTCCGGACACAAGGGATTGACACGTCGAAGGGCCAGGGATGCACGTGGATGGAGAATTGAAAGGACGCTAAGATGCGTGATGTGCACGGCTTGCCCAATGCGGCAGGTGCGCAGCAACTCAATCAACCACCCTGCAGCTCTCCCGTCCAACCTTGTTCATTCCTTTTTTCCTCGCCATTCGTAAAGCTCCATACTCCGCGTTCAGAGGTGCACCAGACTACTGACTACAGGTAGGTCGACAACCAAGATGCCCACCGCCAACGTAAACAACATCTCCATCAACTACAGCCTCGAAGGAAGCGGGCAAGGCGATCTGCTCGTCTTCATCAATGGCCTCGCCGACGACCTCACAACCTGGGACTTCAACGTCCCCGCCTTCCTGGAAGCAGGCTTCCGCGTCCTGCGCTACGACAATCGAGGCATAGGGAAGACGTCCAAACCGTCCGGCCCCTACACCGCCGAGCTGCTGGCCGACGATCTCCACGCTCTCCTGCTCGAATTGCAGATCGGTAGCTTCCACCTCTTGGGCGTCAGCATGGGCGGCATGATTGCGCAGAGCTATGCATTGAAGTACCCCAACTCTGCCTCTTCCGGGCCGCGGCTGCTCTCGCTCTCGCTGTGCTGCACCTACGCGCAGCCTACCACGTTTTGCTCCCGCATGTTCGCCCTCTGGGAAGACATGGCGCAGCGCATGTCGGTGCAGGATGTGATGCGCGACGTGACGGTGTGGGCCTTTACCGTGCCCTTCTTCCGGCAGCGCACGGCGGAGCTGGAGGAGTTTGAGGCGGCGATGGCGCAGCTGGACATGTCTACCGAGGCGTATTTGAGTCAGTTGAATGTAATTCAGCAGTTTGATACGACGGGGCGGTTGCAGGAGTTGAAGGGAGCGGGGAAGGGCCTGGGCGGATTGAAGGGGCGGCAGGTGATGGTGCTAGCGGGACGGACGGACATATTAATTCCGGTGGTGTTGAGCCAGGAGCTATCGCAGAGTGTTGAGGGCTCGCAGTTCTTGACGTGCAAAGGTGGGCATGCTTGTTTGGTGAGTTACAATATCATTATCGCCAAGGTTGCATACATGAGACTGATTGATGACAGTGGGAGTTTCCCGACGATTTCAACAAAGTCGCCATTGGCTTCCTCGACCAGCATCGAGAGAAGAAGTCATGATCTGACATGTAGCCCACTGCCTCAACGCCATGCACGACACTGTTCTGTCCCATGTACCCGAGCATCACGACACCGAACTCGCCGGCCCCCCTCGCTGCCCCAACACGCCACCAACATCCACCTCCTTCTTCTCCTCCTTCTGCACCGCCTCTCTCCGCGGCGCCTGCTCGGCCTTCTTGCGGTCCAAATCCGACTCCATCCCATCCTGCGATGTCCCCGAGTTCCCCTTTGATCTGTCCTTCACCGCATCCGCGACCTTACCTTCGCCAGGCGCGCCCATCTGCTCCGCTTCATCGACATGGCTCTCGCCCTTTGCCCCCGCGCTAAGATCGTCTGGGTTCTCGCCGGGGCCACCGCCTTCGATGCCCTGGGCGGAAGCAGAGGGCGTGGCTTCGGAGCTGGAGGTGGTTTGCTTGGAGGGGATGCGTTGCTCTCTGTTTATGTTTTGTCCGTCATTAGCTGCTACTACGAGGTCCATGACTGAGGTATGGGCACTGCTCGTACACTTGTGATCCGCTTTGTTGTGCTTTTGAGTCGGATTTCTCTTGGGGCTCTTTGGAGGCTGCATTGCCTTGGGTGCTGTACGCCTCGTCCTTGCCCGGTTGCTGGCTCATGATTGCAAAAGTCCTTGTCTAGTTGATTTGGTGGATGGTCTTGTTCTTTCTGAGTTGGGAAAGTGAAGTAATTGTTGTAAAGAGCCAATGGGCAATGTCAACTCATCATCCCAACAACTTTGAAGCTCTCCCGCATGTGAAATTCCAGCCCCCCACCACAACGTCATCTCTGATCATTGACTGCGAACATCCAACCTCGCCGCGTGCGAAGATCGACAGCAGGCGACTTTGACGATGCACGCGATGATTTTGCAATATCTTGCCTTCCCTTGACTTCCTGTCCAATAACACCGCGGTGCATCCATCCATCATGGCAGCTCACATGTCGCGGAAAGAGATACTCGGCAAGGTGCACAAGATGGTGCCGCCGATGCTCGAGAAGTTCCACAAAGGTGCGGTTGAGATGGTGGGATGGGATGATTGAGGCTTTGATACTGACTGTACGCACTACTACAGGCCAGCTGGGCCGAGTGGCGGTGATAGGTGGCAGCGAAGACTACACTGGCGCCCCATACTTCTCCGCCATGGCGTCGGCAAGGCTAGGATGCGACATGGTGGGTGATGGCCACAGCCGCATTCATTACAGCGCCAACTAACAATCACCGCCAGTCCCACGTCATCTGCGAACCCAGCGCCGGCATGGTCATCAAAACCTACTCGCCCAACCTAATGGTGCACCCCTACATGCGGCAAGAGAAGAACATGGCCAAGCACGAGACAATCGAGAGCATCACCGAGCCCATCATCGCCATGCTCGACCGACTCCACGTCATCGTCATCGGCCCGGGCCTCGGGCGCGACGCCGCAATGCAAGAGACGTGCGCGCGCGTGCTCAAAGAAGCGCGCAAGCGGAGCGTGGGCTTCGTGCTCGACGCCGACGGGCTGCTGCTGGTGCAGAAGCAGCCGGACTTGGTGCAGGGGTACAAGGAGTGCATTCTCACGCCCAACGTGGTGGAGTTTGGGCGGCTGGCGAAGAGCCAGAAGATTGATACCGACGAGGGCGATCCGTCGAAGGTGTGCGAGAAGTTGGCGCAGGCGCTGGGCGGCGTGACGATTATTCAGAAGGGCAAGGTGGACTACATCTCCAACGGGTCGTACACGCTCGTGTCGGATGGAGAGGGCGGATTGAAGAGGAGCGGTGGGCAGGGCGATACCCTGACCGGAACGTTGGCGACACTGCTGGCGTATCGCAAGGCGTATCTGGAACGCTTGTGGGATCATGAAAATGACATGGCGCCCGACGAGTTGCTAGCCTTCGCGGCGTATGGCGGCTCGGCCATCACGAGGGAGTGCTCGCGCCTGGCGTTCAAGGAGAAGGGGCGGAGTCTGCAGGCGGCCGATCTGACGGACTATGTTCACCCCGCTTTCCTCGACCTGATTGGCGAGCGGTCAACGGATGAGAGCAAGCTATGAGGCATGTATATAGTCTGCGGGCTGGTCGTGGACTGTGCTGAGCAATATCAACGAGAACGTGATGAAATATGATCAGATAGATTACTGCAGCTCGACATGACGATCGGCAAAGCTGCCGTTTTCAATCGTCTCCTCCGCCTTCCGGGGCGGACCCTGACTGACCAATAAACTTCCCTGTCGTGGGCGGGTAAGACCAGGACTTGAGGTATGGCACAGAGAATGAGGCGGTGGAGAGTGACATCCATGATGAAGCATCTGCTTGGACGATTGCTGTGATCGCATTCCCCTCCGACACCTCCCCATCACCTCCCCAAACCCTCCTTCCGTCGAAGCTGATGTCGAGCCCATCGAACCCGCGAGCTTCCTGCGCCAGACCTCACGTGTAAGAGCGGCCGGTGGTGCGAGGCCAGCGCATGCGCACCACCCCGTCACACTTCATGCCACCGATTCGAACGCAAGCCGAGTACGAACAAGCGGAACACCGCAGCAAGCTCGCCAACTCCTACCAAGCCCTGCTCAACGAGTTCTCCTCCGCCGACCTCCACACCGTCGGCAACTACTCGCTCAAGCGCCTCGTCGGCAAGGGCAGCTTCGGCAAGGTCTACCTCGCCTCGCACAACCTCACCAATGGCTCCAAGGTCGTGCTGAAGTCCACCAAGAAGGAGGATGGCAACCTGGCGCGCGAGATCCACCACCATCGCCAGTTCTTGCATCCCCACATCGCGCGCCTGTACGAGGTGATTGTGACGGAGCATAAGGTGTGGCTGGTGCTGGAGTACTGTCCTGGCGATGAGCTATACCACCATCTGCTGGAGCATGGGCGGATGGAGGAGAAGAAGGCGCAGAAGATCTTCACGCAGCTCGTCGGCGCCGTGAGCTATGTGCACAGCAAGTCGTGCGTCCATCGCGACTTGAAGCTCGAGAACATCCTGCTCGACAAGGGCGAGAATGTCAAGCTCGTCGACTTTGGCTTCACGCGCGAGTATGAAGGGAGCACGAGCTACTTGCAGACATGGTGCGGCACCGTCTGCTACGCCGCCCCCGAGATGCTACGTGGGGAGAAGTATGCTGGGGAGAAGGTGGACATGTGGAGTCTCGGCGTGATCCTGTATGCGCTTCTCTGCGGAGAACTGCCGTACGATGAAGACGATGAGACCGCGACCAAACGGCGAATCTTGCAGGAAGAGCCGAATTATCCCGACCACTTGACTGTCCCTGCGAAGGAGCTCATACAGAAACTACTGGCCAAACGACCGCTCTTACGTCCGACACTCGCGGATCTGCTCAAGAACCCCTGGCTTGCCGAACACGCCCCCGCGCAACAAGAGATACTCAAGATCCAACAGCCAGCGCCCTTCTCGACGCAGCTCGAAAAAGACACCCTGCAGCGAATGCGCAGCGCCGGGGTCGATATTGACATGGTCATCGAAAATGTCCTCTCCCAGCGCTGCGACTCCCTCGCTGGCTGGTGGGCGCTGCTCATCGAGAAGGAACAGCGAAAGGAAAAGCGACGAGAGCGCAAGCGCAAAGCGCGAGAGGCGGATGCCAAATCCATTCGTCGGCTCAGTGCTGCGAGTGGCCGATTACTGGCTCTTGGCGAGATTCGGGAAGGAGAGGAACGCGCGCTTGGGGGGTCGCCGAGAGGCCGCGGACGACGAGCGACTCGCCCAAATGGGAGTGAAGTGTATTCGACCGAGCTGCCGAAAGTGACGGAGAGGAAGACGCCCACCCCAGAGCCTGACGCTCGAGTGTCTCAGACGCGGAACGAGAGCAGGTCCACCAGCCGGCCCCCTCCCCCTCCCAAAGACTACTCCGCCGTGCCTCCTCGAAAGCCAGCACTCACATCTCGAGGGAGTGGGACTGTCGTCAAGAACGTGACCATCGATCCCAATCTCCTGAGCCCTCACTACGTCCCGCAGCCATCGCGGAAACGACTGAACGCCTTTCAACAGCCATTGCGAGAACCACTGGCGTGGGTAAAGCACTGGTTCAAGGACGGCGCCCAGAAGCGTGGAAAGTCGACGAATGAAGGAGTGAACAAGAACGATTTGCCGGCAGCTCATCCGGGGTCGAATGCGCAGCAGGATGGGAAGACCACCGAAGCGATACGGGATCTCCGACGCACATCTACAGCACCCATCGACATGCAGCAACACCGCAAAGAGGGTATCGCCGCGCGACCCGAGCTACAGACACGATCGACTCTCCCCGCCCGACCACGAGTCAGCACAGCCAGCTCGCACGACAGTCGCACCAGCGCGCAGCGCAAACGCTCCAGTCTCAGCCCCCACACCCTCACACCCCACTCCTCCATCCGCCGCCCCTCCGCCGGCCTGCGAGGCCGCAAATCCACCTCCTCCTCCGTCAGCTCCATCCGCAGCACCTTCCACACCCAACATCAACACACGCACTCCAAAGCCTCCAGCACCTCCAGCAACTCCGTCGCCTCCCCTTCCGGCGTCTCCTCCGCCTCAGGCTCCCGACTAGCACGCTCCCCTCACTCTTCGGTCAAAGTCCTACCCACCACCCCCAACGCTTCCAGCTCCTTGCCCTCTGGCGTCCGCGTCTCTCGCCGTCCCCCGCCTTCCAGTCTCGGCACTCTACCCACTTTTGCAGAAGGCCGACACGCTTTCCAGAGCGGTGGCGGCCTTACACTCCCGCCCGGCTCGCCCGCACTTCCCGTCTTCGCGCGAAGGAAGCGCTCCGTATTCAAAGGACCAACAACGACAAGCGGAAGCGCCGGATCACCTAGCATGTCTCGCTCCAAGAACGCCTCGTCGACCAGCGCGCGGCGCAAAAGCGGCGAGCCCACACTCGAAGGCGTGGAAGAGGACGACGAAGAAGAAGAAGACGTCGAGGAGGATGACGAGGTGGATGAGGGGGAGGTTTTTGGTGGTACCGGCGAACTGGCGACGCCGGACGAGCTGGCGACTGATACGGAGCCCATCAGTCCTATGTCGCCTTTGGCTGGGGAGCATGAGGGGTCGGGAATGCCGCTTACGGCCGAGGCGCTGGCGCAGATGCAGGCTGAGGAGGAGAAGAGGAAGGGGGAGCATGATGGGTTGTAGAAATCTGGGGGATTCCTCCCTTTGACTGCTTTTTGGCGTGGTGTTTTCTCATAGCATACGAGAACGTTTTTCCGTTCATACATCTAAATATACACAACTGATTGAGAGCCAGTATCTGTGTCGTTCACATTTCCATTCGCAGGACATGCGTTTATGCCAGACAGCAGCGAAGACTATCGGAGAGACTGTCACGTGTAGTCTCCGGGGTGTGCATCCAGTGCTTTCTCCGACGAGACAGGACGGAAATAGATAGAGCGATAATGCAACGTGGCCGTTGAAGCAGCGTAGCCAACAACAACTTGGTCACATGGACAGGTTTGCTGTCTTGACCAGACGTGATTGGACTCACTCTCATCCGCTGGCGGGCATGGGGCATGCCTTGCTTCACGGGCGGACGCAGCGAATGGAAGCTTCCACGCCTGGACGGGTCCCAGCCACGCGGACGCCTCGTGCCACCACTCCCGTCTGTGCTCTCCCGAGCTAGCGGAGAGAGGTTGTGTCCGTCGTACTCGGTGTCCGTCGCCGTCGTTACGGCTTGGCGATGATGAACGGTATACATCGGGCCAGTCATCCTTATCATGCCGAGCCGAGTAGGACGAGGCACTTTGATCGGAGCGGGCTTCTTGGAGACGAGGACTCGCCGCGTGGATGACGCTCTTCCGTCCCCATCGTTACACCAAGTGGATAGCAGCGCTGTGTTCGGCCGAGACATGGGGGATCAGCCAATGTCGCACCGACGTTGTGGCCGACAAGGGCTGGTGACACCATCTCAATGCGGACATTCTCAATGTCATCGATGGCGCGATGGCGGCCGCTCACCGGTTCTTCTGTGCCTCGTCGATCTCACACGCTCGGCAGCATCGGCTGGCTCATGCGGTGCGATTCGAGCGGCGTAGAAGCAAGCCCTTGCGCCATGGGTGGTACTCTGGGGTGGTGGCTGTCAATGGGAGCGATGCTTTTGCGATGCTCTTGCGATGTTCGATAGGTGTCATCAGCGCAAAACTCGGCGGATCGAAGGTGTTCCAATATTGAGCCATCAGCTGCACCATGAGTGCCAGCTCAGAGAGAGGCGCGAGATGATGGTGAGCGGTGCAGACGTTCATGTTCCACGACGTTGCGCAAGTCATCTCTCCATACACTCAACTTCCTTATCGGGGCGGCTTGAACCCTTCCCTCGGCTTCTCCGGCCGAACAGCCAATAGCGGCGCGCAAACCAACCCAACCACGTCAAACTCTAAAACCCGCCAACGTCTGGAATCAATCTCGCGGGGATAACGTCTTTGCCCTCCGCTCTCCCACGCCTCCCTCCTCAACCACCCCATCGGCATGACCATGAGCGACAGCAACGCGTGCACCAACGACTCCCACTGCTCACCCTCCACGTCTGCTCTCTAGTCGCGAGGGCGACGCTGCCTCTTAGCCCGCGATGGACGACGCGAGCTTGGTGCTGGGCAAAGCCGAGTACTCGCCCTCGAACTACGGCTCTGGCGACCTGGGCGACTACGACTCCGACTTTCGCTCCCCTCGCACCCTCGCTCGTCGCTTCTTCAGCAGCTTTCTCCGCGATCCCAACGCCCACGCCACTCCCAAGGGCGTGGTCAGCGCGGACGGCCGGACGTACGATGTCGAGACTGCCGTGCAGAACACGGCCACTTCGCCCCTCTCCCGACATCTCAAAGGCCGGCATCTTCAGATGATCGCCATCGGTGGTTCCATTGGCACTGGTTTGTTCGTCAGCTCGGGCGAGTCCTTCGCCGCCGGCGGCCCGGCCTCGGTGCTCATCAGCTTCGTGCTCACCGGGATGATGCTGTACTGTACTGTGCATGCGCTGGGCGAGATGGCCGTCTTGTTCCCCGTTGCCGGCTCGTTCTCCGCTTATTCCACTCGCTTCCTCGACCCCGCGTGGGGGTTTGCTATGGGTTGGAAGTAAGTATCATCCTTGCTGTCGTCTGGGCCGCTTCGCTGACTTACCCAGCTACGCTCTCCAATGGCTTGTCGTCTTGCCGCTGGAAGTAGTGTCGGCAACTCTGACAATCAACTACTGGTCGGACCAGAAAATCAACAATGACGCCTGGGTGGCCATCTTTCTGTTCCTCATTATCGGCATCAACCTGTTCGGCGTCCGAGGATACGGCGAGGCAGAATTCATCTTCTCCATCGTCAAAGTTACCGCCATCATCGGCTACATCGTGCTTGGAGTCATCATCGATTGTGGCGGCGGGACCGACGGCAGTTACATCGGGGGCAAGTTATGGCACCACCCCGGCGCCTTCAATCACGGCTTCAAGGGCTTGTGTAGCGTCTTTGTCAACGCCGCGTTTGCTTTTGGAGGAACCGAGCTGGTCGGGTTGGCGGCCGCGGAGACTGCCAATCCCCGCAAATCCCTCCCGACGGCCGTCAAGCAGGTCTTCTGGCGCATCACCCTCTTCTACGTCGTCTCGCTGACTCTTGTCGGCCTTCTCGTCCCTTACACCGACAAGCGACTCCTCGGCGGCAACGGCCCACAGCCCAGCAAGGCATCCCCATTCGTCATCTCCATCCGAGACGCCGGCATTGCCGGCCTCCCTTCGGTGTTCAACGCAGTCATCCTGGTCGCCGTCCTCTCCGTCGGCAACTCCGCCGTCTACGGTAGTTCGCGCACCCTCGCTGCCTTGGCAGAGCAGAATCAAGCGCCCAAGATTCTCGCATACATCGACAGAAGAGGCCGTCCAATCGTCGCCATTGGAATCGCATCCGTCCTCGGTTTCCTGGCCTTCTTTGCGGGTTCAAATCTATGGGAGTCAGCGTTCAATTGGCTCCTCGCCCTCTCCGGTCTCTCGTCAGTCTTCACTTGGGGCAGCATCTGCCTTGCTCATATCCGCTTCCGACGCGGCTGGAAGAAGCAAGGACACACGCTCGACGAACTCGCCTTTCGCAGCCAGCCAGGCATCATCGGGTCCTGGGTCGGCTTCATCTTCAACTGCCTTGTCCTCGTTGCGGAGTTCTGGACGTCCGCGTTCCCCGTCGGTTATGGTGAAATCACTGGTGATAATCGCGCCGAGTATTTCTTCGGAATTTATCTCGCCGCGCCGATTGTTATTGTCATGTACTTGGGGTGGAAGATTTACTATCGCACCCCGTTTATCCGAACGTGAGTATCCATCCATCTCCGCAAGGCGGCGCAATCCGCTCTATGGAAGAGGAATGTACGGCTAACATTTTTGCCCCTGACAGCCACAACATGGACCTCCACACCGGCATGCGCGATCTCAATATCCAAGACCTGATTATTGAAGAGAGGGCGGAGCGGGCGGCGTGGCCATTGTGGAGGAGAGTATACAAGTTCTTCTGCTAATGGCTTTGCTGCGGGCGTTTTTATCCTTTGCTTGCGGCGGTGTGACGATTAACGAGACGATTTCTCCAAAGGGCGTTGCTTGCCCATTTCATTTCGGTCCGTGGTTGACTCGAAATATCCTTTCAATAGCATGCATTATAGATGTAACATCTACTGCATCTCGTCATGCACATCATCGTGAGATTTCCTCGTCATCCCACCGCTTCCAAAGCGCCTCCAATCGCACACTCGCCTCCTTACTCACACACATCCCCGCATCTACCTCCTTCACATCCCCGCCGCCGCCGGCCAACGCCAGCGCAGCAAGCCCCAAACAGCTATGATACAAATCGGGCAAATCGCCAGGGAACTTCCCGAATCCACCTAGCACCGGGTGCTGCGTCTTGTCCAGCAGATATCTGCTCATCGCTTGCTGATTGTACAGCGCGGGCTGTCCGAGGATGTGCAGCGACGCCCCGACCCACCAGGCGTAGCAGGTGTCTGCCGTTTTGTTCGGGCGGCCGTTCATGCCTGCTGCGCCATCTGTGTGCAGGTCGAAGGGGGTGATGATGGATTTGTCGGGGCTTTGGTGGAGCGTTAGTGGTGGTGGCTCTGTTGCGCTCTGTGAGGGTGGCACTGGCTGGGAGTTTTTGATGCGGTGCGCGCCGATGAACTCGGAGTCTTGGGTTGCGTCTGGGTCGAGGAGGTCGGTTTGGCGGTGCGCGAGCCATCGGATTACTTCTTGTGGGTTCGAGGGGGCTCGGCGCGTGTCGGTAGGTTTGGTGGAGGAGGTGGGGAGTCGGTTCATGAAACGGAGAGCTCCTAATGAGCAGAACGTGTAGCCTGCGTGTGGCTCATGTAGGCTTTGGTCTGCGATGCCTCCGTCGTAGGACTTGAGTAGATGTTAGTGGGGATGGATCAATGATGAAGAACATGTACCCACCTCGGCATTTCGAATACACTCGACGAGAGCATCAACATTGATGTCCTCGACTTGGTCACCATCTACCATGAGCCGCCCTTCTTTCCGACTCCCACGAAGCATCCATCGCACCCCAGTCGCGCAATACCCGAACCTCGGATCCCGTCCTCCAGCAAGCTGACCGTCCACATGCGTCTCGCCGAAAGACCCGTCTTCCCGCTGCATCCGTCTCAACCAGCGCAGCGTGTCTTTCCGCCTGACACGGCCAAAATCATCTCCGAGGATGAGAAGCGATGCAAGAGCAAAATACGTCGCAGGCACATTCGCGGGATCCCATTTCGCATTCGACTCGTTCGCTCGCTCCCCCAAGTCAGTCCCAGGCCACATTCGAAAGCCGCCTCGCGGGTGCTGACACCGGTAGATCCAGTTGGCGTAGTCGCGTCGTTCTTCCGTCGAGCAGGTGGTGGTCAGTACACCGAGAAGATCCAGGGCGCTGAGCATGAGGAAAGCGAGATACATGCGGTTGCTGTCGTTGCTGGTGTATTGGTGGGGCAAGAAGGTTTTGATGCATCGTGTCCAGTATTTGATGTGGCGCGTCTAGATTGGGGAACACTCAGTCGTTGGGCTTGTGTTGGAGGGGAAGGAGGTCTGCGACAGACCTTGTCAAGGCATGGCTCCATTATGTTGGCTGCTTCGATTGGAGCCATCTGGTCGTGAACTAGAAAGAGCTATGTGCTCACTGGTTGTGACGCGTCTGCATGTGCTGCTTCACTCTCGCATTTACTGACTACACGACTTGAACAACATCTGGCTTGGAGATGCTTATGAAGGCCTGAGGTGTCAAACCACCAATATGGACGCAGAATAGAGTTTCTCCCGCGCCGAACTTTCTCTGCGAAGGCAGCAGCGCGTGGCGCCTTCGACTCGACCCCTGCTATCGATAAGGGAGGCAAAAAGCCGAAGCGCGTGCAGCTGCTCCGTCACTCACCTCCCTCCCGCATCTCTTTCGTTTCTTTCCACCTTCATCCCTCCTGGATGGAGTCATGCCCGACAAGATGTCGGAACGCCGCCAGCACACCGTCGTCAGTGTGTACTCCACAAAGGTCCTCTCCTACAATGAGTCTTCTATCCTCGTAGAAGCCGGCTCGTTCGATCCCATGCGATGCTTCCTCGGCCGCAGCGAAGACGACCACGATTCCGACGATGAACCTCCCGCGAAAAAGCGCAAGACGGACAACGTCAAAGCTCCTGTGAGAGCTGCGGTGGTGGACGAGTCAAAGCAGATTCCCATGTCGCGACTCATCGTCGACCTACACTTCCCTGACACACTTTACGACTCTCCTGTCCAACCCGAAGCCGTCGCAAGAGATGTTGAGTTTGAAGACGCGCATACCATCACTGTGATACCGTGTGGTCTCGTCGATCTCTTTGATCGAGGTCATCGACTCAAGTTCGCGAGTCCGAGGAAGAAGGGTCCGGTGCTGACCGTTGACGTTTCCCGTCTGCCTGACGAGATGGTTCAATTATTGACCCCTTTCGCCCGCTCGAACCACTCCTGGGGATGGAACGATGCGTTTGTTCATCGTTGTACACTCACGCGATCGCGCGGTCAGCTTTACACCGTAGTACGCTTCGAACTGGCGATGCTGTGGAATTCCGGCGTCTCTGCGTTCTCGGGCGGAGTGAGCGCAAACCCAGCCACGGTCAATCTCAGCTATCGGTCACTCAATCGAGCGTTTCCAGATCACAGACGAGATGAGGCGGACGACACTCAACCGTGGACACCACACGACTTCTACAACAGTGTGCACGTGCCAGCAAGAGACGTGGATGTGAAAGAGCATTTCCAAGACGTGCTTGATACTGAGCTATATCCCTTTCAGAAACGCGCTGTTCACTGGATGTTGGAGCGAGAGGGGGTGCAGCTCTCCGACGGTCAGATTCGGAAGATACCCAACGTGCAGAATCGGCGGGATGTGAAATTCTTCCACACAAGCGAGGATCTCAATGGAAACACATGCTACGTCAGTAATCTGCAAGGCATCGCGCAACGAGACCCACCTTCAGAAGAAGACAAACCACTTTTGGGCGGACTGTTGGCAGAAGAGATGGGCCTGGGCAAGACGGTGGAATTGCTGGCCCTCGTACGCTCTCATCCCCAGGTCGGAGTTGCGCGTGATCGAGTATTCGATGCAGCTTCAAACACGCATGTCACACCTTCCAAGGCCACGCTAATCATCACTCCCCCGACGATCCTACAGCAATGGCTCTCTGAACTCGCCAAACACGCGCCCGCTCTGAAGGTCCTCGTGTATGAAGGCATCACAGCCAAATCGTCAAAAGACCAGACCCAACTATTTGCCGACCTGACGACGAATTACGACGTCGTATTGACGACCTACAACACTTTGGGGCGAGAAATCTACTTCGCTGAGGATCCGCCCGAACGTAACATGCGCCACAAGCCGAAGTTTGAGCGCAAGAAGAGCCCTTTGGTGCAGATCCAGTGGTGGCGCATCTGCCTTGACGAAGCTCAAATGGTCGAGTCTGGAGTCACGGCCGCCGCTCGAGTTGCCCGCGTGCTGCCACGCGTGAACAGCTGGGCCGTCTCCGGCACACCGCTAAGGAAGGATGTCTCGGACCTCCACGGCCTATTGATCTTCCTACGCTTCAAGCCCCTATGCGACGACGCAAAGCTCTGGCGGCGTCTCATTGCCGATGGGAGACACCTGTTCCGGGACATCTTCAAAAGCATTGCGTTGAGGCACACCAAAGCTCAGATTAGAGAGGATCTCAACCTTCCACCGCAGAAACGTGTCGTCATCACCGTGCCATTCACTGCAATCGAGCAACAGCACTATGGAAGTCTCTTCAAAGAGATGTGCCAGGCGGTGGGTGTGGGCGAAGACGGCTCGCCGACGAGCGATCAGTGGGACCCGGAGGATCCGGCCACAGTGGAGGCGATGCGCACGTTTTTGGTTCGTCTGCGGCAGACATGCCTTCATCCGGGTGTCGGCGGCAAAAATCGCAAGGCTCTCGGCAAAGGCACTGGTCCGTTGAGAACGGTCGATGAGGTGTTGGAAGTCATGATTGACAACAACGAGACCAGCATTCGCACCGGCGAGCGTACACTTTTGGCCACACAACTGCTGCGAGGACATATTTATGCTTACGCGGGGGATGACCCGCATAGGTATGACAAGGCTCTCCCTATATATCTCGACGCTGTGTCGTCGAGTGAGGTGTCGGTGAAGGAATGTCGAGATCGTCTTGTGGCCCTGAAAGCGAGCCAGCATTCGGGGGACTTCATTCCTCTGGATGGAAAGGTCGAAATGGACGAGACGGACGACGAAGATTCAAGCTCGGAATCGGCACCGATCATTGGTCGAGAGAGGAACAATCTGCGTACCTCACTCCAAATGCAGCATGCCTGCACATTCTTCGCCGCTACCGCATACTTCTTGATCAAATCCGACGAGAGCCTGACTCCCCCGGATTCGGATCGTTTCAAGGAGCTGGAAGAGAAAGAAATGAGTCTATACGAGCGGGCCAAGCTCGTGCGAAGGGAGATCTTGAAGGCGAGTGCACGAAGGGCGGAGAGTGTAATGAGCACGATTCGTGACATGCAGGCCAAGGACGAATTGACAAAGATCCCCAAGATCAAAGATCTGGAGAGTCTCGGTGGGATCGAAAGCCGACGCATCGTCGAGAAGAGCGATTTGCTTTTCGATGGAATTCGGGCACTGGTGCAAGTCATTGTCGGCTGGCGGAGTAAGATGGCCGAGTTCCTGTTGAAACCCTTAGTGGACAACGAGGATGCCGATGAAACCACGGGTGAGGAGTATGAGGACTCCACCAAGCAGCAAGATGAGCTGTATGCGTACTTTGACGCCTGCAAATTCATCCAAGCCGACCTCAACACCGTCATCAGCGGTGAGGCGGCACCTCTCATCGATCACGAGGCCCAGATGCTCCGAAGGCATGCGAAGAGTTGACTGGACGAGAAAGTGATTGACGAGATGAAAGTCGCGGTACACGCTCCTGAACTCACGCTGGAGCTGTTGACGGTTCGCAACAAGCTTCGCGATGATTATAAAGACATCGGATCCATCCGTGGTCTTATACAGGAGACGCGTGGTCTGGAGACTTCGCTGCATGGACATGAATCTGGGGCGCGAGCTGTAGAGCGCGTGCTGGTCCGGAAACATCTCTCCGCTCTGCAGTCGGTCTTCACCACCTATACCAAGACCCTTGAAGCTCTGGAGAAGGAGATCGACCTCTTCCGCTCCACGCAGAATCGACGGCTGGAGTTTTATAGACAGCTGCAAGAGCTTTCCGATGCTGTGAAACCGTACAAGGAAGAGCTCGACGAGCATCTGGACGCAGAAGCCATGCAGGCTGCGACGCACAAGGAAATGGATCAAAAGAAGAACTTGTCAAAAAGCAAGAGCCACCGGCGATATCTTCTTTCCCTCCGAGACAAGACCGAGCCCGAGATCTGCATCATCTGCGTGACCAAGTTCGAGAATGGCGTTCTGACCACTTGCGGACACCAGTTCTGCAAGGAATGCATTCAGCAGTGGTGGAGCTCGCACCAGAATTGTCCCAAGTGCAGGACTCGCCTTAAGTCGGCGGACTTCTACAACGTGACGTACAAACCTCAGCTCCTCCGCGCACAGGAAGAGGTGCTGTCCAACTCCACCTCTCCGGACACCTCGGCCTCCCCCTCTTCCAGTTCCCAAAACGCCAACGCGTCCGCATCGATTTATGCGGACGTTGACACTCATCTTCTCCAGGAGATTCAATCGACCGACCTTCCCGCCCACTATGGGACGAAAATCGACACTCTCGGCCGCCAACTGCACTGGCTTCGTTCCCACGACCCCGGCGCAAAGACCATCGTCTTCTCCCAGTTCCGCGAATTCCTCGACATCTTGGGCACAGCTCTGCGCGACTTCAAGATTGGCTATGCTCGCCTCGGTCGTCCAGGCGCGGTGGAGAAGTTCAAGCATGATCCCAGTATTGATTGCCTGCTGCTCGACGCCAAGACGGATTCTTCTGGCCTGACGCTCGTCAACGCCACGCACGTGATCATTTGCGAACCCCTTGTGCAGACTGCCGTGGAGCTACAAGCTATTGCGCGCGTGCATCGTATTGGCCAGACGCGCCCCACGACCGTCTGGATGTACCTCACTCAAGACAGCGTCGAGGAATCTATTTACGAACTCTCGGTCACCAGACGCCTGGCGCACGTGCAGTCTCGCCAACAAAAGACAAAGCAGGCGCAGAAGTCGCGATCCTCTACTCCAGCGCCTCAGCTGAGCGTGCAGCAGAGGGAGAATGCGATTGAGGTGGCGAATTCGGAGGAGCTGCAGAGCCAGCCGATCTCCAAGTTGTTGGTCCCGGGCAAGGGCGGGGGTGAGATTGTGGGGAATGGGGATCTCTGGCAGTGTCTTTTTGGCAAGGCGAAGAAGGTGCCGGAGAAGGGGATGGGCCAGGGTGGGGATGCGATGGAGGATGTCCGGCCTGGGCAGGTCTTCCAGGGGAGTGAAGAATGGATGGAAGAGTGAGGCAAAGTTTATGGATATGCCGTTCAAAGAAACAGTACAAACTGCGCTTTGTTGGAGATTTCTGCCGCAGTCCATAGCAATCAGCAATGGTACATCTACGAAGCCATGCGATCAACGCCAGACCAAACTCAATGCCTTCCATCAGTTCTTCTTCATTGTTTCCGCACTAATGACTCAATGTACTCCTCCGCTTCGCCCGCCTCCTCTTCAACGTCTTCCGCCCATTCCGCGTCTTGACCCTCGACAAGAAACCATGCCGCCTTTTCCGTACGCGATGTGACGGGTTGAATGTATCTCTGATTGCGCCTCGCGCTTGGATCGATTGTGGCTGCTGGAAGGGTTGGAAGGCGGAGCTTGGAGTGTCGGGGTGAAGGGGCTTTGTGGAGCCTTGGGGCGGTGTGAGGAGTTTTGGTCGGGTGAGGGAGCGGGAGACGAGGGATAGTGGTCTGTGATGGGTGGTTTGTTAGTACTTTTGCGACTCTGGGTGTGGTGGTGGTGGGTTTTTACCTTTGCTGCTGGTTCGCGAGGCGTTGTAGTGGTGGTGTTTGGCGGGTGGAGAGGAGTGATGTGCGTGTTGACGGCGCAAAAGCCCTGCTGAGGCATCGGAGACACAGCATCTTTGCGCCGTTCGGAGAGATGGACAGAGGTGATGTTGGATGGGTAAAAGTGTGTGAGCGGGAGACGACGAGCGGAAGTGTTGCTGCGGAGTTTCCTCTTTGGGACGCAAGGAGGTCCAAGCTTCGAAGCGAGTTTCCATTGCGTGTCATGAAAGTGTATGCTGCAACAGCACTCCTTCCATCCCATCCGTATCGCCATTCTCAACCCAGGACGGCCGGCCAATCTCAGGCCACCATCCATCATGGATCTCCTCCACCGCCTGGCCGCCTTCCTCGACACCCCCTCGATCCCCTGGAAGCGATTGATCCTCACCTTCGCCATCGGCGAGTTCGCCCTCGAATCCTACCTCAGCTGGCGCCAATACCGCGTCCTCTGCCGCACCATTCCCCCGCCGCAGCTCAAACGTGAGATCGACCAAAAGACCTACGATAAGTCGCAAGCGTACGGGCGCGCCAAAGCAAAGTTCGGCTTCGTATCGGGCGTCTTTTCCCAGATCAAGAACTACTTTGTCATCACGCGTAACGTATACCCCTGGCTGTGGCGCGTGACGGGCACCTGGCTGCTGCAGGCGTGGTGGCCCAAGGCACTGCAGGGCGAGATCACGCATAGCTTGGTCTTTGCCTTTACGTATGGCTTCGCGGAGACGCTGCTCGGCTTGCCGTTCTCCTACTACCACACTTTCGTGCTCGAGGAGAAGTTTGGGTTCAACAAGCAGACGCTGGGGCTGTGGGTGACGGATCTGCTGAAGTCGCAGGCGCTCAGTCTCGGGTTTGGAATCCCGCTTGGCTCGGCGTTCTTGTGGATTATTCAGAAGACGGGCGACCGCTTCTTCTTCTACCTCTGGGCGTTCACGCTCGCCGTCCAATTGGCCGCCATCACCATCTACCCCATCCTCATCGTGCCGCTCTTCAACAAGCTCACGCCTCTCGAAGCCGGACCGCTCAAAGACCGCGTGGAGGCTTTGGCTCAACGTCTCAAGTTCCCGCTCGCGGAGTTGCAGGTGATCGACGGCAGCAAGCGCAGCGCGCACTCGAACGCCTACTTCACCGGCCTGCCGTGGAAGAAGAAGATCGTCATCTACGACACGCTGATTGAGAAGAGCGAGGTGGAGGAGGTGGAGGCGGTGCTGGCGCACGAGCTGGGCCACTGGAAGAAGGGCCACACCACCAAGCTGCTCGGCATTAGCAGCTTCCATCTGCTGTATGTGTTTGTGTTGTTCAGCGTGTTCATCAACAACAAGTCGTTGTACGAGGCGTTTGGCTTCTACAAGGAGAAGCCGATCATCATTGGCTTCATCCTGTTCAACGAAGTGCTGTCGCCGACGGACAGTATTGTCAAGCTGCTTATGAACATCCTGACGCGGAGTATGGAGTTTGAGGCTGGTGAGTTGTTCCATTTCTGATGTTTTCATTCCATTTGAATGTACTGACGATGCTCGTAGATGCCTTCTCCCACTCCCTCGGCTACTCCGAATCCCTCGCCCGCGCATTGATCAAACTGCAGATCCAGAATCTGAGCTCGATGGATGCCGACTATCTCTACTCCAGCTACCACTACTCGCATCCCATCCTGACCGAGCGATTGAAGGCGGTAGGGTGGAAGGGCGACACCACGGTTGGGACCGGCGTTGCGAATGGCGGAGTGAAGGCGAAGGACGAACTTTGAGGGCTGACGACTATTCGTTCTTCGGGTAAGCATTGCGTTGCATAGCGTTGGTGTCGGTGTCAACGTCGCTTTCGCTTTTCAGGGCTGAAAGCAGGAGGGCATAGCTCATCAGGTCGGACTGGGTGACCACTTCGCACATGCGTTCACCCGTGCTCTTCTCCAGACTCTTCAACCTCGTCCTCACTCTCCGTCTCGCTCTCCCCACTGTCATCCTTCACTTCCACCTCTGGTATCCGTCCATTCTGCTTCGTAGCTGGCGCACCTTCTCGCTCGCCCACCTCGCCCTCCCACGGCCGTTGCTCCCGCTCATACTCCTCTTGAGCCTGCCAGTCCGACGCATGCATCGGCGTGTTCGCAAACGACTCCAATTCCAGCACCTGCTGCCCCTCCGCATCCTCCTCCGCCCCCGCCAGCGGCAAGGCAGCATTAGAAGACGTCTCCGCCCACTGCTCGATCTCGCTGCGCTTTCGCTTGGTACCCTTCCCCGACGCGCGTGAAAGCAGTGCGTCGAGACGCGAGTCGTCGCCGGCGGGCAATTCAGCTTCTGCGTCGTCCGCTTGTGCGAGTTCCGCGTTGGCTTCTTCCACATCTTCAATGGGGAGACTTTCGCCTTTCAGCCCCGCTTCGATGCGGCGCAGGATGGAAATTGCGGGCCCGCCGGTTGGACCTGATTCGGCGGAGAAAGTGATTCCGCGGCGCGAGAGAGTGCAGTCTGGGTGGAGGTATGGTTGGCGCTCGCTCTTGCGGAGGAAGGCTGAGACGCTTTCGAGGGCTCTTGATGGGGTTATGGAGGATTCGAGGTGGGGGTGGTGGAATGTTGGGGGGAGGGAGGTTTTGGAGGGCATGGCGGGTCGGGCGGCCATGTTGGATTGGATGGTGTCGGCCAACAGGCCGTGTGAAGTGACGTGGTGTAATAAGATATGGAAGGCAGAAGATGGACGGGAGCGCAGTCAAATTTCTGGATAGAGTTTGGCAGGGTTGTGGTGTGCCTCAGGCACTCATCACCCCAAGTCGCGCATGTGCAACGAATCGGAGAATAGAAGGAGCCAATGAGCTCTCGAAGAGGGGCTGGCTGACTAAAGAATGGTGGGGGTTTCAGCCTATCACGCGTCGCGGGTGTGGGAAGATCGAGGGTGATGCGCGCTTATTCAGGCACCTTGCCTTGATCGCAGCGCTTCCGGCGGCCGCCAGGCCACGCGAAACTCCTCCAGTCCTCTAGACACGGCATGCATCGGGCGGTTGGAAGTGGGAGCCGGCGCATGTGCTGTCCTGTGCTTCCTGGCCCGCCCTTCTCGCGCAAGCTGATGTAGCTTTCCTTCCTCCTCCTCCGTTCCGCACCCGCATCACGGCCGTAGAGACAGCGCAGCTCCCATCCAGCTCATCCGAAGTCGGCAGGCCCCAGAGCGCCTCTCTAGCATGACCATGGCAAGCTCCAAGCACGACAACGAGCTCTGGCTCAACGATACCGCAGAAACTTCCCATGACGAACCTCCACAACCCCTTCGCATCGTCAAGCAACCCGCCTCTTCCAGCGCCAACTCTCTCCCGACCCAGCAGTGGGCACAGTACCAGGCGCCCTCCAGCTCAACAACACACTATGGACCGCCGACCTCTCCGCCTCCCACCGGCGGTCTACCAAATCCCAGAAGAGCACCAGCCTTGAGTAGTAGAAGCGGCACCCCGGCGGAGGAACGTGGCGGGGGAGGAAGAAGTATGGCTTCCTCGGACGCCTCCTCGGGTGCGGGCAGTGGATCGGGTGGTGTGGCGACTCGGCCGCCGAGGGCCAGGTTTGAGGCCAACGATCCCAACCGCCCTACTGGCCAGTGGTCACCTTCCAATCCTGCTGGCACGATTGGCGCATTGGCGCAACGCCGCGGAGCCCCGGCCAAGAACGTTCATACTGCCGATGCTCCTGTTCCACCAGACTCCCCGGGCGGGCCCGAGCCTCCTTATAAGAGCGAGGATGAGCACGCGGACGAGGCGGATGAGAGCGCAGGAGAGGACGAGGAAGGCACCCTCTTCCAGATTAGTCCGAGAAACTCCATACGCTCGGAGGGGTCGGAAGCCTCCCAGCAGTACTATCCCCCTCCGCTGGGAGCTGCTCCACCTCAGACAAGCGCGGCCGGTTTGAGCCTTCCCGACCCCGCAGGCGTGAACAGATTGAACAGCACCGCCTCTATATCGACCACCAAAGGCAACAGAGGATCTCCTCCGCCGCCCGAGACGCCGGCGACCGATACTATGCCCACAAATGGCTTGACTGGCATTGAGGCAAGATACGCCGCCTCGCAAGCACAGAGCGCGGCGGCTGCAGCAAGGCAGGCGCAGTATTCCTCCCCGCCCCCTCAACAGCAAGCAGCAGGAGCGGAAAGTGGACGATGGAGTCCCACTGAACGTCCGGGCACTTCTCCACATGGCCCTCCAGTCATGTTTCAGGGCAACGAAGAAGTCCAGTCGCGCGGGTCGGACGTACCGAGCCAGCAGCAGCGAAGCCGGCAAGGGTCTGGACAAAGCAGAACCCAAACTGGCGCACCATTGGAGGGCGAGGTGAATCGCTTGAATCTTCATGAAGAGCCACCTCCTGCATATGAGCCTCCACCGGCTGGAACTCCCAACTCGCAGTACCCGAACGAAAAGGGAAGATACGCGAATACGCCGCAGGCTACTGGCTCAGGAGCGTCTGCATCGGCGAGGAAGCCACCTACAGCTGATCCCAACGTTTCGCAGCACCCGGCGTTCGCGAATGACACGAATCAGCCACAGCCGCAGCGGAATCGACAGGGCTCGTCATCTCCGCAGCAACAGAACGGAGGCCTGCCGCCGGGAATGTCGCCGATCCTTGTCGCTCACGCCAATCAGGTGGCTATTCAGCAACCACAACCGCAGCAACCTGTCTCGCCCCCTCCCCTGCCAGAAGGTTGGATTGCACACCTCGACAACAACTCCGGTCAATACTATTACATTCACCTACCAACCCAGTCCACTCAGTGGGAGTTTCCCAAAGGACCTACTCCGCTTAGCCTTTCGGAGCCGATGAGCCCGACAGGCACATATGTTGGCCAGCCCTTCTCCCCCGTGGGCTCGGTCTTCAAACAGCCGCTATCACCCGGCTTTCCGGTCAACCAGCAAGCGAATGCAGGCACCTACGATCGCCTCTCCATGGCTGCCATTGCTTCGCCGACAGTCGCCGGCTTTACTGGACCGCCACCGCCGACCGCAGGCGTAGACATGTTCAAAGTCGCTCCCACCAACGGTGTCTACTTTGGCCCATATCTCCGCTACACGAATCTCGATCTCGAGAGAGGGCTGTGGTTGGGCAGTATCATGCTCATCACCGATGCCCAGCAGCCGCCAACGATTCACATCCATCAGAGCGTAGATCTGAGCCCCAGCCCACGGCAGTTGAAGGCCCACCCGATCCACTCCCACCAGCGATGGGTGTTCTACCGATACGATGTCGACCTGAAGATGGACGAGCAAGGACCGGCGAAATGGACCTATGCCATCACTTCGCATCTCGGTTGCACGCGGTATGAATTCCTCGTCGCTGGGCGGTACGAGACTAGCTGGCGCTTTGTGGCACACTCGGGTAACGATTTTGCGTTGAACGTTAACGCCAACGAGCGGAGCCGGCTCGGTGGCATTCCCCTCATGTGGAAGGATGTGCTGCTCAAACACCAGGAATGCGGCGGCTTCCACGCCCAGATCGGTCTTGGCGGACAGATCTACGCCGATCGACTGTGGAAAGACATCCCCGCGTTGAAGCAATGGACGCAGACGAGTGGAAAGGAAAACCGGAAGAATGCCCCCTGGTCACCGAAGATGGACGAGGACGTTGTGCACGCCTTCTTTCACTACTACACGAGCCACTTCGACCAGCCGGCGGTGCGGGAGGCGTTTGCGCAGATTCCGCAGATCTGCTGTCTCGACGACCACGACATCTTCGACGGCTGGGGCAGCTATCCGGAGTACATGCAGCAGAGCCACATTTTCCGCAATATCGGCCGTATCGGGATTGATATGTTCTTACTCTTTCAGCACCACACTACCCACGAGATCCTTCGCAATGTGTCCAACGATGTCGATCTCTTCACCATCACGGGGCAAGGATGGCATTTCATCAAGTTTTTGGGCCCCGCTGTGGTGGTGGTTGGGCCTGACACGCGGTCGGAGAGGACGACGACTCAGGTCCTTGCAGGCCCGTCGTATCAGGGCTTGTTTCCGAAAGTCGCCGTGCTGCCGCCAAGCGTACAACATTGCATCTGGCTCTTACCCGTGCCCATCATCTATCCCAGACTAGAGGGCGTGGAGCAAGTTGCGAACACCGTTGCCACAGGCAAGAAGTTCGTCACTGGTGGCTTTAACATGGCTGGCAAGGTGGTTGGCGGTCTGGCAGGCGTGGTGGGAGCGAAGGGGATGGTGAACTCCGGTTTTGACGGCGTTAAGAAGGCCGTGGGGAAGTCGGGCTTGATGCAGGGAGTGCTGAGTCCTTTTGGCGAGATTGACATGCTGGATGAATTGAGGGATCTGTGGACGCATGAGTCAAAGGTATATCTCTCTTCGACCACCCTACCTTTAATCTTCCCCGCTAACACACATCACACAGGATCTCGAGCGCACCTACCTCATCCGCACGCTGCAAGGCATCGCGCACAACAAGTCCATGCGCATGACCTTCCTCAGCGGCAGCGTGAATGTGTGCGGCGCCGGCCTCGTGCACGACCCGTCAAAGCTCAGCGACCACAAAACGATGTATCAGCTCATCACCGCGAGCATCGTCAACGCGCCCACGCCGGGCTACGTGCTGAAGCTGCTGCACAACAACAAGCCGCTGTACATTCCGCAGAACGGGCATCGCAGCACGCCCTCCGTCCCGACCGACACCAAAGAGGACATGATGGAGATTTTCGCCGCGGATGTCGATGGGCGCCCGCGGGATTTGCGCCGTCTGATGGGCAGGAGGAATTATCTGGCTTGCGTGATTTATGATCCGGTCACGGTGGGCAATTCCGGCTTTCCATCTGGTGGGCCGCAGGAGTCTGGCAAGCTGAGTCTCGCGGCGGACTTTATGGTGCAGAATGAGGGGGCGTTTGGGCAGCCGATGAAGTATGGACCGGTGGTGGTGCCGTGCTTGGAGTATGGACGATGATGGAACCAGCGGCAAGGCATGGGGTGTTGAAATCATTGCGAGCATTTGATTGATTGATTGCAAGCAAGCAAGCGTTGTCCCTTCTATGAAGTAAGCGTAGCCATGACCCTGATATTAGGTATTCCCTTTCATCCCAAGCGCACTCATCATCTAGTTCCCATTGACCAGCTGGGTCCTCTCCAATTCCGCGGCCTCTACCCTCCACTGCTCAATCACGCTCGATGTGGCGCTGTGCCCGCCGCAGACGACAATGACCACCTTCTCGTCGGGATGCACCGGCCGGCCGAGGGCCTGTTTCAGCCTGCCGTCGTAGCAGAGGGAGAGGGTGACGCCGCACGCCAACTCCACCAACATCCTTTCGGTGTCGAGGAAGCGGCAGCACGCCATGGCGGCCTCCGCATCGGTGTAGACGGCGTGGCGCAACCGGCCTTGCGCCTGGTACTTGCTGGCCAGCTCGAATGTCCGCTCCGCCACCCTGCGCGCGCCCAGGGTGACGGCACTGGATGTGATGTTCGGCAGCGTGATCAGCTCGCCCGCCTCGAGGCTCTGCGCCAGCGAGTCGGCGCCCAGCGTCTCCACCGCGAGAACCTGCGTGTCATCCCATTGTCCACCCAGCCTGTCGAGGCCCTGCACAATGCCGCACATCAAGCCACCACCGCCAACGGAGCACGCAATCATCTCCGGCGCGCTCTCGCCCAGCTCGCTGAACTGCACGCGCAGCTCGTCCATCAGCGTGCTATGCCCATCCCAGATGTCCTGATGGTCAAACGGCGGCACGTAAACGCACTCGGCCCCCGCCGCCTCAGCAAGCGGCATCATGACCTCGCGCAGATGTGCGTCGGCCTCTCGCAAGCCCGCGCCGAACTGCACGACTTCCGCCGCGCCGGCGATGCGGATCTTCTCCACCATGAAGGGCTTGGTGGTGTCGGGGACGACGACGCTGCACGGGCGGCCGAGGAAGTTTGCGGCGTGGACGGCGGCGAGCGCGGCGTTGCCGCCGGACGTGGAGAAGAAGTGGACGTTATGGGGGTTCTGGGCGCGGCGCATGGCGGTGCAGAGCAGGTTGCCGATGCCGCGGGATTTGAAGCTGCCGCTGGGTTGCAGGTTCTCGAGTTTGAGGAAGATTCTGCTTCTACGGTTTAGTGATCTGGTTGTTCTCGCTGCAGGTTGGAGGAGGCAGGATGGGCGGGAAGTGGTATTCTTACCATCCTGCTGCTTTGGAGAGGGTGTCGGATTCGACGAGGGGCGTCTGGCGCCAGGGCTTCTTGTCCTTGACGGCCATGTTGCTTATATTGTGTGAAGAGTGGAGATTGACGGGAATGGGAGATGTGCAGAGGACAAGCACAGAGAAGAGACGCTGGAGGAGTACTGAATGGAGGAGGAGAAAAACAGAGGGAAGCGGACAACAAAACTTCCTCACCGTCTCGTCAGATATTTATGGGGAGTCCCATGGCGTGTTGCGCGGCACGGGGTTTATCTTGACTCCATGTGGGTAAAAAAATCGGGCAAGGCGAACGGCATGCTGGGCCGTGGGCAGGGCCTGGTCGCTGGAGAGAGTGGAAGGATGAGGTGTTGGCGGCATATGGGCGAAAAGCGGGCGGGTGAACCGCCGCTACCCGGGACAACGTGACCCGAAGCGGCGATGTTTTACGTTCTCATTACCCTATAACTTGCGCGAAACTTCGCCCACACGCCTCGCCTCGTCCGGGGACCCCAATCAGCCTGCTCTCGTCGGGCTTTGTTTGCGTTGAGAAGGCGCATGCGGACGCGGTTTCGCGTGCAAAACATTGCCGTTGCCGTGCGTTCCCGCCGTCACATGAGCTGCACGCGGAGGGGAAGCGTATGTCGCCACGGATTGTCCTTCCGACTTGGTGTCTTCGTAATCTCGTTATCTCTCTACCGCATGCATAGTTGCCAAGGCTGGGAGTCACTCTGCATACGCCCTTGGCTCCGCAAAGCATCCGATTGCCAACTGGCCAATGTCGGGTGACCCTTTTATCAGCGAAGTAGAACTGCTTGATACCGCCTGACTTCGCTTCCAAATCGTGCTGCCAGTCAGCTGCCGGCTTCCACTCTCGCTCGTGGACCACGAAACAAGCGAGCAACAATGCTGGGCAGTAGTCTTCTGCTCTCCTCCGTACCCGCTGATCGCTCCTCCTAAGGCCCTTTCAACACGTATTGCTCGAGAAAGTCGTTGACGTGTTGGAAGTATCCGCGCTCGCCGACAGTGTTGTTGTGGTCGCCGTTCGGGAGCTCCTTCCACACCAACCCTTTCGCTTTGCTCAATCGGAAGAGTTCCTTCATGTGTGATGGTCTGTATACCTCAGCGTCAACGAATAATCTATGCCCACGTATGACGACAGACTTACGGCACAATCTCATCTTTGAGTCCGCTCAGGAACAAAATGGGAATATCGGTGATCTGCGGAATGGTCTCCTCACTTTTCCAGTATTCGTGACAAAGCGGCGTCAGGATCTTCGCCGCCGGCATGACCTTGGGAATCATCTTGGCGATGCTGAGGAATGTGTTTTCCAGAATCAATCCCTTGATGTCGCCAGTCCCCTTGTTCTTCGCCACCAAGTCGATGCTGACCGCGCCGCCGAGACTCTGCCCGTAGATGACAATATTGTTGCTTTTGAGGTCGTCGCGTTGCCGGATGTAGTCCAGGCCCGTCTGAGCATCGATCTTGAGGCCTTTCTCGTTTGGGTCGCCGGTGGAAAGGCCATACCCTCGGTATTCGAGCATCAAAGTGGTACATTGGAGGTCGTTTGCGAGCACGCGAGCGATGGGCAGACGGTGGCCAATGTTGCCTGCATTGCCGTGAAAGGTCAGAATGGTGATGGGCCGGGCTTGTGACTTGTTGGGTGGCCGGACGAGAAACGCGCTCAATGTTTCTCCATCCGGCGTGGGAATTGATAACTCCTCATAGTCCTCGATACCGAATTGAGAGGGCTTTGGGACGTCTTTCCGCGCTCCTGGGGGGATGTTTCGAGGGTAGATGAGTTCGCTGGACTTGGGGTGAATACTTGTTCGAGATGACGATTGATGGATATAGATGGCTTACTTTTGCCAATAGTACAAGGCACCGCCAGTCAGACTGGCCAGACCGCCCCCGAAGTAGAAGGGCCACTTGACCCACGCCCACCAAGACGCCATTTGCAGATTCCTGGTATACAGCTGCTGAGGCCTAGCACATATCGCTCGTTCTCTCACAAACGACGCAGGACGAAGTGGATAGCAAGTGGATATCCGTGCAGTCGGGGAGATCCTCGTTCGAATCATGCAACCGACTGCGGCAAATCTTACAATAGCTCGGGCTGTGATGCAGTCGGTGCAAGGCAGTCGGAGGTCGACATTCGCGCCAAGCTGAGGTGCTTACTCATCCCTCTCTTGTGGCGGAAAGTTTGGAGCTTAACGCGAATCACGAAGCAGCCTGGCGTTTGTTTGACGCAGCTCCCACACCTCGCCCACCCTCCGTCCTTCTCATCACCATCCTCTCCATCTCCAAACACAGCTTGAAGGCGCTTGGTAGATCGCTGCGCATTGTCTCGAAGGAGGAGGACATACTGCTCTGACGGCAAGCACACAACAACCACACAACATGGGGCCCACGGGGATGCTTGGGGAAGGTATGTCGCATGCGCAAAGGATAGGATGTCTGGGATGAGCCCCCTGCTGACTGACTGCTCCCAGATGGCATCCACGTCGACATGAATCACCTCAAATCCGGCGAAGTCAACCTGGGCACATCGATCATGGCGATTAACTTCCAAGACGGCGTGATACTGGGCGCGGACAGCAGAACAACGACGGGAGCATACATCGCAAATCGAGTGACGGACAAGCTCACACAGGTGCACGACACCATCTGGTGCTGTCGGTCGGGGTCGGCGGCGGACACGCAGGCGGTGGCGGACATTGTGCAGTACCACCTGGGCATGTACGGCATCACCAACGACGAGCCGCCCACCACGCAGACGGCGGCGGCCATCTTTCAAGAGCTGTGCTACGATAACAAGGACCAGCTGAGTGCGGGCATCATCATTGCAGGATGGGATCACCGGCACGGCGGGCAGGTGTACGCCATCCCGCTCGGAGGCTCGCTGCACAAACAAGCCTACTCGATTGGCGGGTCCGGGTCGACATACATCTACGGCTACTGCGATGCGAATTGGCGCGAGGGGATGACGGAGGCGGAGGGGATTGCGTTTGTCAAGGGCGCGCTGCAAGAGGCGATCAAGTGGGATGGCAGCTCGGGGGGCGTGATCCGGATGGTGGTGTTGACGGCCAAGGGCGCGGTCAGACATCTCTACCTGCCCGATCGCAACTACGAGGGCCCGGGGACGGACAAGCCATAGTGTGGAGTGTAGCGCAGCATGGCGCGAAGGGTGGAGGGAGACAGCGAGGCATATCTGTACCTTATCACACCTTACCCCATCTCTCATGTCGTGGAGTGCAATCAGCGTCGGGAGAGGTACCGAGTGGCACGGCTGTAGAACCAATCACTAGCCCGTACCGCTCTTCTCGCGCTTACGACATTCGCTCATCACGATCCACATCTACCTTGATAACTTTCGAGCTGTTGAGGCAAGAGCGAGGCAGCGGCGAGGATGAAAAGGCAACCAGCAGAAAAAGCGGTTGCAACATCCAACCTCTTCCAACACTCACGTCCATATGCAGGCGGTGGTCTGCCGTGACATCACGAAACCCTTGCTTCCCCGGCGGATCCCAGCCAAAGCCACTTGATTAGCTGCGCGGTAGTTTTAAGCAACAAATTTATCCCGCCGGATTGCCCTCTTCCGTCCTCATTTCCAGCGCTTTTGCCCTCCCTCAACACCCTCCACCACCTCCTCTTGGATTCCTCCTCTCCTCCCTCAGCAATCCGGACATCTCGGCGGGACCGTCTCATTTACTTGACCGACGGTGCCTGTGTCAGTGTAGCTTTGAATGGAGGTACGTCGTCTGTGGTGTCACCGTCCAATTGTTGGGATCTGCTTGACGCGCTTGCCCGCTTCCCGCATCCTCCTCCTCCTCCACCACCACCACCACCTCTTTGACCGCCACCTCATCCATCACCCCACCCTTGCGCTCCTCTATACCGTCACCCACGCGACTGCAATGCCCACCAGATCTCGTGGTCTTGCCACATTCCCGCCGCGTGGTGTCACGCCACATGCGAAGAGCGCCTTGGGCTAATCTACTCTACTCCTCCTCCAGCCTCTACCTTACCCCTTCCTCCTCAATGCGCTGCCATGTCTGTGGTCATTGATGCAGTGAACTCCCTCTTCGCCCATTCTTCCGACCCCCGCCAGCACGCGTATGACGACGATCCCCGGCCACGGTGGAAAGCGCCCATGACCCATACCGCCCGACGAGCATCGAGCTCCTCCAACACCACCACCACCCAACAACAACAGCATGCCCGCCCGCAAATCGCCCCGCGCAGCATCTCCCAACCTTTACAAGACCCCGATCACCCCCAAGCCAGTCCGGCAGTAACAGACGCCCCCAGACATGCCCCGCCCCCGGAACCCGGTTTACCCCCTTCACAACCATCAGACACCGCCATGGCGTCGCCACAACGCCCCGCGCGGCAAGCGGCGCCCAAGAAGATCAAAGTGCGAGATCTGGAGCACATCCAGAGTTTTGCCACACAGGACATGGACGCCTTCTCCGAGCTCGGCAGCAGCAGTTGGTCGCGCTCGAGGGCGGATGGAGGCGAGAGTCCGCAGTATGAGATCAGCGAGATGAAGGTGGAGCATATCATCGAAATGGTCGCTGGCCTGTTGACCAAGATTACCACCACCAACGACCAACAGCATGAACACCTGCACCGCCAACCGCCCCATCTGGACGGCTCAACCCCGCTGAACCTTCAAACGAGCAGCGTCTTGGCCTTTCACGGCAAGAACGTGCCCAGCATCACCATCCTCAGCTACCTCAGCCGCATCAATAAATATTGTCCGACGAGCTACGAGGTCTTCCTGAGTTTGTTGGTCTACTTTGACCGCATGACGGAGAAAGTCAATGCGGGCCCCATGGAGAGCCTGCGCCAGGCGAACCGCGGCGCAATGGAGCACAATCGCAGCGCGCGCAGCTCCAGCGAGTCGCTCGCCTCCGATGCAATGGAAGGCGTGACGACATCCAGCCCGCCTCCGGACACCCAGACCATCACCCCTCCGCCCTCGGGCTACATGGAGAAAGGGGTGGAGGATGGACGGCCGGGGACTCCCCACAGCCGCAGTTTCGGCTCGGAATCACCCCCAAACCCACCCGAGCCGATGTCCATCGACCCATACAACCTCTCGCATTTCTTCGTCGTCGACAGCTTTAACATCCACCGCCTCGTCATCGCCGGCGTCACATGCGCCAGCAAATTCTTCTCCGACATCTTCTACACCAATTCCCGATATGCAAAGGTAATTCCCGTACTACTTCACGCCAATATCACAGAATCACACTGACTTAGATACCACCAGGTCGGCGGCCTCCCGCTACCGGAGCTCAACCATCTCGAACTGCAATTCCTGCTCCTCAACGACTTCCGCCTCTCGGTGCCCGTCGAGGAAATCGAAGCCTACGGCACAATGCTGGTGGAGTTTTACGCGCGTGAAGTCGTCGCGCAGCAGAAGGCGGCGCAGGCGCAGGCGATGCAAGCCCGCTCGCTCAGCGAGAGCTCCTCCGACAGCACCAATACCGTGCGCGCCGTGGCGTGATAGAACGCGCTCTCGGGACGATGCAATGATGCGAAGATCATGCAGCTCACATTACACTCATCGGCTGCTATCAGGCGGTCTCATATACCCACCCCGCGAATGACACGAATGGCGTTGGGAGTTTGATTCGAGGCGGCTTTTTGATTTTGTTTTCGCTACTTGCTCTTTCCGGGTATCGAGAATAGAATGGGAGGGGGGGCCAGGGGCTTCCAGTTGTTATGCATCGGCTTATTAGAGCTTCCTCGATAGACTTGCCCTTTTGCCCCCTCCTCCAGATTTCCTTTGTTTTTGGCCTCACATTCTGCTGATTTGTCGAGGAATGCTGCGCGCGGGACCTGCCTTTGTTCTTCCAGTCTGTTCTTGCAAGCGTTCGATGGTTTCTGCGTCTCTTCTTCATTTTCATTACTCACTTTGCTGTGCACGGGGGCTTCACAGAATAGGAGGTGGCTCGATGGGTACTTTTGCGAGATTGAAAGAGCGGATATAGAGGGTGAGGGCTTTAGGTGCGGCGTTGTAATCAAGGCTAGAATGGACAATGATGATTATGCTTTTTGCGGTGACCTTCTCCATCGTTCGGGAGATGCGCGGTATGTGCGATCTCTTCTTCTTCTTCACTCCCCCTTCAATGCTGTATGGGCTGGTGCGTTGACGAGTCGAGGTCTTCGAGTTCAGGGTCGAGGCGTACGCGTTGCCGACTTGCTGGATCGAGTATGCTCCACTGCCGACGGCGGATGCGGTGTTCTGGATGTGGTTGCGTACTCTGTCATTCGCTTGCACGGTTCCATCTCAGAGCGAGGTCGCGCGGCCTGCTGGCTTGGTCACGCGCGTTATCGGCTGCTTGGAAGGCTGGAGATACTCGAGAACCGACGACGCGGACTTGGGCGATAGTCGATGGCATTCGTGAAGTTCTGGTCTCGTGGATCAGTCCGTGTGTTCCATCTCAGATCCAGATCGCACAGCCTGCTGGCTTTGTCGCGCGCGTTGCCGGCTGTTTGGAAAGCTGGAGATACTCGAGAACCGACGACG